GTTACACTAATAGAGCATACATGAGACCTCATGAACTGATTGTCCAAACCCTGTGTTAGAAACTCTTAATCTATACATAGGCCAGCAATCCACAACTAAGAAGTGAACATAGGTCGCTCACACCACCCAGTGGCAGCCATCCAACGATTTCCCCTTCATTTACAAGATGTGCAGATACACTGACCTTTTGGCTTTTGCTGTACCATATGTAGTTTATAGCTGGGAGCCTTTATGAAACCAAAATATGGGAGCCGTGCTGGAATATCCCCATTATTCACCCTTATTGTTTTACTAAAACACCACTGAATCAATCTTTATCAGCTAGGAGTTAATTCAGTGCTGGGACTTTTTGATTCTGCCTTCAGTTTCACCACTTATTTATTGTGTTATTTCTGAAACATCTTCTGGCCTCTGTGTACCGAGTTTGCACTAAGACATATCTTGGTTTGAAATCCTTACCCTCTCTGCCAACAACTAGAAGGCAAAAAGGGAACCAAGAACGAAGCCAAAACACCACACAATTAACACCAACAAACTGATTTGCCTTTATGGGTTCATTTCAGTATGCCATGGCAGTGAAGAGAGAGGAGATTCAAAGGTTGGAGAACATAACAGAGAAAGAGGAAAAAAAGCTGGAAAAGGCTGAACACCGCCTGGAGAAGGATATTGCCACGTTTGATGAGTTCCTGAAGGAGAACCACAGAAATTCTGTTCACGCCCTGAAAATGTAAAGGACGTTGAGGGAACCACACATATACTCTTTTGCATAGGACAGCAAGTTTTTTGCTTGACCTCCCCTGAGGGTTTGGACTAGCATCCAACCTCAAATTCTGTGTGTCTGGGTTTTCCCAGAGTTACAGTCCCAGTAGCATTTTCTCCCCACACATTCAATGAAACAGATGAAGGAATCAATAGTAGGGGAATCATCTTATTGCAAAAACCCTCAATTTGGCTGCGGTGAAGAACTTAACATTGTCTCCACCACTTCTGTTCTCACAACACCCTTATGACAGGCAAATTCTTCTTCCCAACCCTTCACAGCAGGAACAGTTCCCTATAAGAAGCAAGTTGGGCACTTTGGTCCATTACAGGTATCATAAAAGCAGAGCAGCAAGTGATGCTCAGCAGCAGCCCAGTTAGGGACCCCTTGAACAGAAAGAAGACCCCACAAGCCCTTTACCAAGGCAAGTGGGACCTTCAGGCAGGAGCCAAGTGTCACCTGTGGTACATCTGTACCGTTAAAAATATATATATTTATAGGATTCCTCCCCATCTTTGATCTATTTTATATGCATCACAGCTCACTACCTGCTTATCGCTAAATTGTTTCATGGCTTATGTTGATGCATTCTAGCGCTGAAAAAGAATCTGCAGCAAAGACAAAGAAAATAACAGAGATCCAGATGATCAATTCCCAAATAAATAGTCTCCAAAGGTAAGAGCAGCACATTATTCTTGCTCAACCTTTAACAGCCCCTACAGCACTATACCCTTACAGTCCTTGGGGAGGGGAGGGAAGTTCAGAAAACAGTACTATTTCAAAAGTCAAAACATTTCAGTGATTTCTAGACAAAACATTAGAGCTTTTGTTTTCCAGATACTGATTTTGTTCTCTAAAACAATTTAACAGTTTAACAAGTTTAACAGTATTTTAAAAAAGAACTAATCTGAAACCAAAATGAAATGCCTAGTCTCAGATTAAAAACAAATAAAAACTACAGCAAGGCATTTTAATAGTGTCTTTAAAAATGATAATTCCCATGACAAGCGGAGCTGGCAAGATTTGTATTAATTTTTCAAGTAAAAATTCTATTATTTGGCATCAAAGCTATAAAATGTGGCTTGGGGGTTGATTCACTGACTGAAAGACTGAGTTTTTTTTAAGAGGCAGCAGGAGCACTTGGTAATACATTAATTACTCATTTTGTTAAATGCTGCCATGCTCCCTCCTATGGGCAGCGTGCAGGGAGCAGGTATTTCTTTCCTGAGGTGACAGATACTTGGGGGAAAGTAAAAGAGCTGAACAAGTTATCACCTGCCAGCCAAGGCACAATACCTCATCACATGCATCTTTCGAGCCCTCCTGAAGTAAAACAGATATTTAATGAAGGTAACTTGACTGCTTTATTTTAATATCCCTTCTTGGTGTTTGCTCACACTGAGCTCAGAGCCAGGTCAAGTCCTTTAATCTCACCACTTATATCTTCCACACCAAAGGTGACACAGGCCACATTAAACCCCTGGAGATACCTGCAGAGCGTGGGTGCTCTCTGCTGGCTTCCCAAGGTGCAGGGGCTGAAGTTTGGGTTGGACGAGACAGCAAAATGGAAGCATTTATTTTCTTCTAAATGCACATCTCTGCCTCTTCATCTCAATTGACACCATCAGTGTATTTTGACATCCATCAGTGTATTTTGACACTGGCCAAGCTGCAGATGGCAGCTGGTCACCACTCCTATCAGAGACACATGGGCAAGGGAGATCTCTGTTCGCTCCCTTCTAGCTGCACAGGCCTTACAGGGTTGACAGATGTAAAAATTAAGCTCCAAGGCCTGCTGCTCAGATTTCAAGACTCTGCTGGAGATGTGGGTAAAATACTGCTGCTTTGCAATCAAGTAACTCTCTCTGGACATGTGCAATTACACCTGAACTTGTCTGCCAGTTTTTCAGGCTGGCCAGATGCCAGTCACCCAGACAAACTTTCCTAGTATTGTTCCTATATTAGTAAGCCCAGTGCCACAGAAGAGGTCTGCCCACAGAGATGTGACCAGAGGGATTTCAGATGAGGAACTGCAGGGCAGGTTCACATTTGTCTGTGTGTGTTCACAAGGACATGTGCCTTCTTGTCCCTTTTCTGAGTGGAGCTGTCTGTCAAGAGTTAGAAAGAACCTGCTCAAACAGGGGCTTTCCTTCTTGCTAACACACTTTGCCCACTTCTCTCACCCTAGTGAAATATCCAGATTTGAGAATACTCTGCAAGAGTACAAGATCTACAAGGACTTCCTCTATCAGCTATCTCCAAAAGAGTGGCAGGAGGAACATGTAAAAAAGCACACAAAGCAGTCGAATACAGCCTCCAAAGCTAACCAAGAAAGTGCCTCTCCTCTCACCGCTGAAGAAGAGGGTAAGTGCCATGGAAGAGCTCCCCACTCCTCACCAGGCCAGCTCCATGCTCTAAACGTACACCTCTTCTGGTGTTCAGGCCCAGGCCTGACAGCTGGGTTAATGCTGCCTGTCTGTACACTACAGGTTATACAGATGCATCAAGTTCTCTGCTGTCTGCAGAAAGTTTGAATTTAAAGCTGTTGTGTGAGATCAGGCCACAACTCAAAAGCCTCCTGAAGCCTTTCTCGACAAAAAAGTAAGTACGAGACAACAAAAAACAACAGTCAAGTAATATGGAGAACACTCAACTGAGAATCAGGAAGATAAAACCTACTCCTCACCTTCGCTCTCAGCATGCATAGGTCTGGGTCTTATTGGAACAAATCAACATATCAGACGTTCCAAAGATGTGCAAGTCAATACTTGTACCCCTACCCCAAAAAAGCTCCATCCCCAAATCCTCTGATAAGAGCCTGCACAGAGTTTGGGCCCTAAGGTGACCCCAGGAGGAATTATAGACCTTGGGTTGGAGCAAAGCTTCTCTGTGGCCTGTTTGTGGCTGGGTTACTGGTTCCCACTGTTGGTCACATCAATCCCATCAATGAGGTCCACATTGCATTGACCACCTGCTTTCAGTAAGAGGCTTCAGGCAGTAAGAGGCTTCCATAACATGGGCAAGCCCAGACTGAGCAGTGGAGAGCAGGTGAGAGTAAGAGACAAGAAGGGCCCACTTTTTTTTTTTGTTTTTGGAAGGCATATTGAACAGTTGCCTGGAAATGCAAAGCATGGGCTTGTGGTGATTCTATAGCCTCCTGAGGCCAAAAAACACCTGGTTAGCAGTAGAGTTTAAGCCAAGTCTCTACCTGCAGGGCCAGCTCCTCGGCCTCCCCTCAGAGCACTGCAGGTGCCAGGCCCTCCCAAGCGGGGCTGCTTTGTGCCACCCCTTGTGTTGCCACTGCAATTACTGGGCTGCTGCCATGTGGCAGAAACAATACATACACAAGTGGGTCTGGCACGAAAACGATGCAAACTGAGGTTTTTCACCCCTCCCATAGCCCTGGGGCAATAGGTGCGAATGAAGGCAATGAGCAGACTGCTGCCAGTGCCAGAGAGGCTCCTCTTGCCTTGCTTTTGCAGCTCAGGCTCATCCCTGGGACTGAGCAGGGAAAAAAGAGACTTTATTGCTGGTAAATGGCAGATGGCTGTGCAGAAGAAGCACTTAACAGCCTTCTCCAAGGGCAAGTAAAAACTGCAGACTCCTGTGGTGGCCACAGCATGTTGTTCGGGAGCAGTAGCACACTCCACACAAAGCTTTCTCTACATTTACTGTGCTGCTGTGTCTTTTTAACAAGTCTTTTGCCTCAGCCTTCTCATTACCCAAGAGCCCAGCTTCCCACCACATTTAAAGGCATTTGGATCAACACCCTCAGGTCAGGCTCCTCTGTTGAGTTCTCACCCCGCTGGCCAGCAGAGCCTGGAGCAGCTCAAAAAACATCTTGCCTGAGGACAGACGCAGCTCCTACAGTGCATCTTGGTGTGGCCTCTAGCTCCTACTGATGCCCAGGCAGCCCACAGACAAATGGGGGGCAAACCTGCAAACATTCAAAGGACTATTCAGGAGCAAACAGCCAACACACAACAGAAAGGGAAGCTGTCAGCTACCTGCAGCTGAAACTAGAAGTTGTTTGAGGTGTCAATGTTGGCTAGTTGCCAACATGTGGCAACTATGTTCATGCTATACTAACAAGGTCTCCTTTGAGCTGTCATTTCTCTAAGAGCCTGATACACAAAATACTTTTTCAGAAGTTCACGGGAGGAGCAAGAGAGCAAACCCTGCTCAGATGAAGAAGATGAGGTCAGAAGTCTTTATACTGAAACATTTACACTTTGTTCTGTGTCATTTATTGATGTTATTAATTTCTCTCACCTTCTAACCATTCATTATGGGGTTGAGGTGTTATTGTGGCCACTAATTGTAGATGTATGTTTATATATTCATAAACATTCATGTTTTTAGAAACCTTCATTATAAGTATCTTCATATAACTTTCCTCCGCTGCTTTCCAAAAACCCACCATCACTTCAAAGCTTGCCAACCCACAACAAGATGATATGACATGTCACAACAGGAGGTTTTGAGATTAGCAACGTTACCGTTTTATGTCCAAAACTGAAGTTTTCTCACTCAGATGTTTGCATCACTTTTTACTTCCCAAAATTCAACTTGGTGCAGCTACTGAGGTAGTGTCAAGCTAAACACCTGGCAGGAAAGTAGGAGACATTTGTATGTGGACAGCCAGGTACCTCTTTACATGCAAGAACAGTTTGACAGCTGGGGCTGAATAAGCTCTTCACTTGCTTTATTTCAGTTCGTGCCTGTTTTCTACCATCTGTGCAAAAACTGAAGTAAGAGCTTCCACTGTTTTACATCAGTTGAATGAAATTAAGGCAAAGCTAACAGCATCACCACCCCAAATCAGCCAGTGCAGTAAGGCACACAGACTTTGTGTAAGTCTTGCCTCTCTCTTCAAGTAAGCCTTACCTCCCTCTTTTCTTGAGTTCATCACATTGGCCGCAGATCACAAATCACAAACCTTCTCCATAACAAGGCAAGGCTTCAGAGACAGGCCTGGTCCTAGAGAAGAGACAGAAGGTTTCAGGAGTCAAAAATCAATGCCCAGAGTTGGGTGCAGAGCACTCAGCTTTCTGTAGCCACAGCCCCTCCAGCCCACACTGCCATAAGAAACCAGAGAGCCACTCTGCTGAGCGACAAAACTTCTTTAACCTAGGGCAGGGTCTACTTGGTAGTTTCCCCTAAGCAAACACATTTTTTTCTTTAGGGGAATATAGTCATGTCTGGGGATCATGCTTGGCTGTCCTGCTGGGGGGAGCCACAAATAACTCCAGTAGGCAAAGGCACTGGTGGGCATTTCCCTCTTTCCTCATTGTGCAGTTTCGTCTGGAACAGAGAGAGAGGAGTCACAAAATCATTTTATTTGGATATTAAACTACTTTTATGTTCCAAAGTTTTAGGAAACTTCTCTCTCTCTGGGATTGAACTAGTTACAAACAGCATATTGTTTAGGCAAAGTTTTTCCAGAAAAATAATACTTTTTTCAAATCTTTTCAAGTTTTTTTTTTTTTTTTTTTTCCAACACAGTTGATAAAACAAACAAGCAACAACAACAAAAAACACAAGGGAGCTTTAGGGCACCTTCTTCCAGTCTCAAATCAAAGCAGCAGAACTAGAACAAGCAGAGGGCAAAAACTCATCACATGTGCTTTCCTCTCCAGGAGCCTGAGCTATATTTTACTGATCCCCAACAACTGCTGTCTATTTTCACGGAGATGGAGGAAGAGAACTTGTCCTTCATCCAGAATTCCCAGGAGATGGAAGAAAGTTTGGATGAGCTCCAAAACACTTTCATCACCACACACCAAAGGACGTAAGTGTGATCCTGCGATTCTGTGAGTGATGGGAATGGGGTCCCTGTGCCCCGGCTTTCAAACACAAGTGACCCCCCCCCGCCATCTACTAGCACCTTCCCACCAGGCTGCCTAGTCCTCAAGGCACAGGCTGGGGAACTGATGCAATTAGCATTCTGTGGGGTACACACACCAGGAAGTATCATGTAATTCTCATAAGAAAAGATCAAAGCAAGTAACAATGAACCTGGAGCGATCCAGACCAGCATCTGTTTTGACTCAATGCAAACCCTTCCCAGAGGAAGCCAGCAGGGAACCTGAGTGTAATTGCAGCACAGTATTTCTACCGCAGGTAGGCACACCTATTCCCATTTGCAGTGCACCTTAACCCCTTGTGAATGTTTTTAAATACAATCTACTTCCTGCATCAACTCATTAGAAATTCTCAAGTGTTATTTAGCTATGCTATTTCTCCATCCCCCACACCGACACAGGAACTGTTATTCCAGAAAACCCAAAGCTCTCTGCTCTCAGAGCTACAGTGCAAGCTGTCCAGAAATGGCATGTAGTGTTACCTCCATCTGCCGGCAGCAGGAGGGATGGTCCTGGGCTGGAAAGCAGAACAGCAGCCAAGGGGTTCTGAGATGCCTTTTTCAAAATACCTCCCTTCTCTTCTGGCCTAGGGAGCAGGAGATAGGACAGCTGAAGCAGGATGTGGTCAACCTCAAATCCACCATCGCCAAAGAAGAAGAGAGGGCAGCAGATCTGAAGCACAGAGTTCAAGTCTTTTCTTCTGAAGAACACAACACTGATGTCCAGGTACTCCTTGAGATCAAGGCAAGGTGGGATAGCATGGCAATGAGCAGTTTCTCTCCACTGACTATAATCATCCTGGGTAAACAGGGACAGAGGGCTGGGATCAGCACTTTTCTCAGCAGTGGAGCTGCAGCAAGGGCAGGTTTGGGGCACAGTGCAGGCAGCAAACTGGGACAAATGTGCCCACACCACGCAGCTGCCATGAGGGGGGAGGAAAACCCACAGAGGCACCCAGGCTGCTGCAACCTGGCCTGAGCCATGGCTCAAAAGAATGGCTCAATACAGCCCTCCCACCCCAGGCACTGCAAAGCAAATTGAGAAGCAAACAACTGAGTTTTGTTGAGGAAATTTAAATCTACTGGTTTCCTTTTCTATTCTTTTGAAGGGATGTAGTGTTTCTACTGGGCAGAAGCTCACTGGTGCATCTCACCTTATCTCTTCTTATCCCTAGGACAAAACGCTCACAAGCTTGAACAAAAAGGTGCAGGAGGTCTATAACCAGTGCATTGGAGACAATGAGGCAAACCTGACGACACTGCAGATGCTGGCAGCGATAGAAAAACGGCTCAACAATTTATTGGACAACCTGGAGAGAGTCCCACCAGAAAAGATAGCACAGATTGAGAAAGCCAAAGAAAAAGAAAGGAGGATAAGGTAAAACAAGACTCTCTGGAAACAGGTCCTCTATTTTTAAACATTGAGGGTCAAATGCAAAACTACTGAAAGAACTAAATTTTTCAAATCAACCCTGGTAACTAACAGAAATATGACTGCCCAGATAACCAATAGATCCCATTTTACTCCTGTGTTGCTTCAAATTCATGGTACTGACAACTCTTCATCAGCAAACAGCAGCCACAGCTATGTTAGAAAAGACCTGGAAGGTGCCTGTGTTCTGAACTGAAAGGTAAAATCTAGAAAAAGATTAAAAAAAAAAAAAAAGTCTTCTGAGCAAATTTGATGAGAACTGTAATTTTAAGAAGACAATTTGCATTAACAGTTAAAGTAATTGGATAGAAAATTAATTCTCTGTATAAGTACATAAGAATTTTTGGCAGCTACAGCAGTTTCTAAATGTTTCTCCTACAGAACTCTAAATTTAACTTGTGCTTTTTAATGGAAATAATAGCCAGTTAATACAATAAATTCAGGTTTTGAGACATTGCTATTGCTTCAGTTACCCACCTGAAAGTTCCCCTTGCAAACTGCAAAGAGAGCTGGAATAAATGGAGAGCTGACTGGATCTGGCCGTTCCAAGGTGAACCAGGTTAATCAGAAGATAAAGTAGTTTGAGCATTTAAAGCCAGAACAGCGACATTCTGCTCCTGCTTAGTTTCTTTCTCTGTATTTTTCTTCACCTTTGTAGTAGAAAGGGTGCAATACTTCTTCCTGATGTTCTGTGAATGATTTTGCACTCGTAACTGACAAAAGAAACAAGATACACACATAGTGGGGATGGAAGAGAGGAACCCAGGAAGGAATCTGACCAACCCCTACCCCTGCCTCCACACCCCCCATGCCAAAAAACACCATTCAAAGATCATTTAAAATCCAACATCATCTATACTCAACCCCCACACTCCATTGGTCTTACACTGTTAGACGACACATATATCAAAAGGGTACTCTGTGTAGCCATGTCTCTGTGTAGCCATGCACGTTTAAATCCTTTTTTCATTCCCTTCAAAAGGTTCAGAGAGGAAAAGCTAAAGCAACAGAAGAAGCTGCAGGAGGAAAGATTGCAACGGGCCCTGGAAAGAGCACAGGCAACCGTAATAAAAAAGGTCAGTGCAATAATCCATAGGAATATCTTGTCTCCATAGCCTGCCTCAGAGAAGTTGGGGGTACCCTCAAGCATTCAAGGGAAGAGCTGTTGCAAGGAGGCCTCCACAGCTGTGTGGGGATGACACCCATGCTCATGTGTAGGCCAGATTACAGGATTCATATAATTTAAACAACTGCCAGAGGGCAGCTGTGCAGAGTTATTCCAGTTCTGTGTCCTTCTACTGTCCTCCCATTCTTGTGCCTTAACCATGTGGTCCTCTCCATTGCTTGCCAATTTTCTCATTAAGCTCATTTCAACTTGATAATCTGGCAATATTAAAAAAAAAAAAAAAAAAAAAAAAGGCAGGAAAATCAACAAAGGAGAAAGGAGGCAGCAGCAGGACACCCTGCAGCAGCAGCAAGCCCCCAGACCAGCTCAGGTGTATAACCAAGCCCTACCTTTTGGCACATGGTCCTCATCACAACAATCCAAGACTTCCCTCCTCAGAGGTACGTGCAGAACCGCAGGCCAGGGCTCCTGCTGCACACCAAGCGAGCACATTTCACAGGTCAACGTGACCGTGAGGGCAGCCCAGCTCTGCCATGCATCAAGCTGGTAACAGGATGGGCAATCAAGAACAGGCACCGTGAGTCCCTGCCCCTTCACGCAATATAAAACAGAGTTCTGCAGGCCCCCTCAGATTCCAACTTCCCACCTCCTTGTAGCAGTACTAATAAGGCTTTAATCAGAAAACAGCTGCAGGAACATCTACAGTCTTTGTAGAAGCTGAAGTACTGGCACATGAATCATCTTCAGGTGCTTGATGCTTACACTTTAAGAGAAAAAACACGCTGAATAGACACATTCAAGCCTGCCTAGAAAGCAGCCAGCAAAGGGCCATGGCTCCAGGCAGCAGGAGAACCCCATGGTGTGAAGCAGCTGTATCAGGAGCCACAGGGCTCATAGATGCTGCTCAGCACAGCACTGATGTGCACGGCCTCTGCTTTCTCTGCAGCCTGGCAAGAAGCTGATGTTCCGCTCCAGCCCACCCACCAAGAAGGAAAAGAAGAAGCGCAGCCAAGAACAAATGGATAAGGAGAAGGAAGAACTACTCTATTATTTCACTTGACAGCACAGCCTTTGCTATACCACGTAGGGCTGATAATCATTCTAGAAAAAAAGGTTTTCCTAGATTTAGTCTGTTAAGAGTCTAAGCCATTTACTCAGTGAATGAACTTCAATGAAATTCCGTATCTTATACCACAAGATCCCAGGGAAAAGAGCTAGTGACAGGTAAATATTTTATAGCCCCCGATTTTTTGCTTACGGAAATAAAATTTTCTCTCATTTCATTGCAGGCAACAATGTTTTTCTCATTCAGTTCTTGAAGCATAAAGCTGTGATACTCTGTGATATCAATAACAAAAAAGTGTTAACAGTGTTCCATAAAAAAAAAAAAAGGGAAAAAGTAAAAAAAAAAAAAAAAAAAAAAAAAAAAAGGTAGTGGCCAGTTTACAGCTAACTTGGCAGCAGTTCATAGATGAGATATAATCAAGGTGCTTAAAATTTACGTGACGGTCCTAAAAAGCTGACTAGTGAGATTTATCACAATAACGATTTTTTTGTTATGGTAGAACTAAGTCAGGCACTTACCAGACATCTATTAAAGTCACAAACCTGGTGAATGACTATAAAAACAGAGGCTATCCCTTAGCCTAAAGGCTGGGTTTTGTTATATATCAATAACTTGAGCAAATGAAAAAAGCTATACAGAAACCAAGCTATTGACCGTTAGCTTTATGTCAGATGCATCCATACAAAGAACACCACCCAGTGACAAACTGACCATAAAAAAAAAGCTTTATTAACCCTTTTGCACCAGCAGTTCTTCGGGTATCCATTGCCAGCAATGGACTTGAAGCCAAGTAATCCAATTTTCGGCCCCCAGAGGTTAGCGCTTTACATTCATTTACAAAGCTGAATGAGGTACATTTTCAGAAGTATAAAGATTCATTTGCAAGTCCCATAAAAAGATGGTGTGTTCCTTGGCCATTTTATTAGATTAAGAACTGGTATGGTCCTCGAAAACAGATTAACACAGGCAATGGGAGCTTGAGGAGTTTCAGCTTCCAGAGAGAGCACGGTGACCACTAGGAAAAACACCAGTAGTCCCTTCAGCATGATTCCTCCTCAACCCTTCTACCTCTCAGGAGTGGATTCTATGCTGTGGTCACAGCCATCAAGTATATCCCCTACCAATTAGCGTGGTTTCGAAACCCCACCTGAGAGGGTTATGATATTCCCTGGACATATGCTGTAAACTCAGGATGAGAGGAACAGAGAGACCTCAATGCTCAGATAGTTAAGCAAAAGATAGAAAAAATAAAGACCGGTTAAACCAGAAGATAAAATACTGCCTACAAACCAGGACCTGAAGTTAAATGTAACCTGTAAACTCCCCCCTGCCCCCTCCCATCAACCAGAAAAAAAGTATTGTTCTGGACACATACATAGTTCAAAAGGCACAGGAAGTAAAAGCATTTCTGAATGACCTCGTGTGAATTCAACATCAGTAAAACTGTAAAATAAATAAATATGTGCAAGATTAGAAAGATCACAAGGTTCTTCTGCATGACATATCTTATTTCATAAAAAATATACACATACGTGCATACACACACCTCATTGAGAATAAAAAACAATACATACACCCTTTTATCAAATTCCTATACATAAGTTTATAGGCATTCAGTACATTACCATAAGAAACATTTAAATTGCCACCTTAAAATGTAACCAAATGGTGGTTTTCCCCCCTATACAACCCTAAACTTACTTAACTGTCTGCAATCCAATCCAGGGAAGTACAGTACATACAAACTCTTCCCCCCACCCCCCGGCAGAAACTGCAGCTTTTCAACGGGACAAATCTAGTAACAATTCTTTTCCCCTCCCAACATATTCTAACAACTGCATATTCTGTAAACCAGACGGAAGCTCCACATGCATGTGATACTCTGTGATATCAATAACAAAAAAGTGTTAACAGTGTTCCATAAAAAAAAAAAAAAAGGGAAAAAATTAAAAAAAAAAAAGAAAAAAAAAAAAGGTAGTGGCCAGTTTACAGCTAACTTGGCAGCAGTTCATAGATGAGATATAATCAAGGTGCTTAAAATTTACGTGACGGTCAACATCTCTCCCAAAAAAGGGAACACAAAGATAAAACTAACCTCTCTCAGACACTGTTGGAGTCTTAGCTAATCACTTACAGTGAGTACAGTTCTATTGCAGTTCTTTTTTCAAGTTTTGCTGGAAGAATTCAGCAGATAATTTGGGATGCAGGAGCAAGGAAAGGGAGAAACTCAACATGAGCTACAAACTGATTCACAGCTAAGTTAACATTTAGAATCTAGCTTGCTAAAACAAAACTTTAGAGCATTTCATTTTCATGGCGTAGGACATTAACTTTGTTACATGTGACAATTTATTCCAGTTTTCTGCCAAAACACAGGGGCCAAAACAATCTGTGTGTGCACATGTGAAATACTTGCAAATTTTAACTTTTAATTTCTCAATGCCACTGGTTCCAGCAGGAGACCAATGGAAGGGAAGTTTGAACTGTCATAGGCAGAGGTTTATAAATTTGTACTTGTTAGCTGTAGAATACTTGCTTTCCTGTGAAAACAGTAAATATTACCTCAGTTTGAAGTTTAATACAGTACTTCTCCCTGAAACAACACTGTACAGCAGCCTGCCTTGGTCTCTGTGACCGTTAGGCAGACAGGTTATACTACACAGGCACATCAAGTAGGATTTACATTTTTTTTTAAGGAAATCTTTCAGCTGTAACTGTCTTTAGCAAATTGCAAAGAGTGCAACCACAGTCCAGTACTCCTAGTTTTCATATTTTCCTTGGAAAAAGACCCACACAGTTATCTCACTTTGTTGAGACGTGATTGCCCAATTTGTTTTCAAGTAATAGTTCTTAATAATGGTCACTCCAGATCCTGTAAGTTTATTGTGCTTCCAGTGAACTGAGAGTTATCAGAACCTGCATCATCTTCAGTGGAATTGTGTGGCTCCTGTTAAAGCAAACAGATAGCATGAAGAGTTCAGTGGTGCTCTAGATGTTCTTAATGCTTATCACTAAGACTACTTTGACATTTATCCAAGATCAGAGAAACGCTTTTAACTGTTTAGAGGAAACCCAAAGTTCTCCTACTTTAGGGACCCACTCAGACAGTGCCACTCCATTTTTTCTTTGGAAAATTTCACACAAATATTACTAAGGGAGATAAAATTAAAATCACTGACTATTTGCTTTCCCTCTGTTAACTCTCTACCACAGCCAATGATCCTAGTACTCCTGTACTTCTACATTTATCATAGTAAGGTGCTTCTCCCAAATACAAAAATTTATTTTCTATCCAAGACACACACACACTTGGTAAGAATACTGCATGGCAGAGTTTAACAAAACCATAGCTCCACATGGTCAAATGGAAAATCTGGTGTATGTATATCCGTTAATCACTCATTGCTGCTTGGTTCTCAGCTGTTCATATTCACTGACAAGCAGCTTACCAGAATAGCAGATAACAAAATATTCATGCTAGCAGCAAGACACTGAGCCATATGAAGCTTTCTGCATTTGAACAACTGAATTTCCACTGACACTCAGTAGTTAACAAGCAGTGAAACCACAGATTGCAGAACTGAGCAGACTTTAACAGCCATTCTCATATAGACACCTCTTTTGACGTGTAGGACCATGATCTTATTGCCCACTTCCCACCCTTCATGTAGCCTGTTACAGTTAAGAGTATCAATTCTGATCCTCTTTCTTGACCTACTTAGTATCTGCAGAATGGGATCAGGAAAACAAGAATAAGGCACTAATAAATTCGTAACGTGTAGTTATTCATTGCTCAGTAGCAGAGGAAGAAAAACAAGTGGCTATGATGCATCACAGGTTGGTAACATACACAAGATAAAACTCGCAGTGCAGTTCTGTATTCCTAACGGAAAACGAGGTATTTCCATTAGGCAGAACATCAGGGTTCACAGTAAGCTATATTCACTTTCAAGCAAGCCAATAAAACCCAGCAGCTTAGACATGCTCTACCTGAAGTATGTGAACAGGTAAATCCACTGTAAGCTGAGAATGTGATGAGGAGGACTGAGAGCTCAGTTGAAAGGGTAAATCTCCCTCTCCTGAGGGATCATCCTGTGAAGGCAGAAACATGATGCAATTACAAGACTCTGAAGCATCTCAGCACAATACAGCAATTTTCAATCAACCTTAAGAGTCTTAAAAGATCTGATAAAGCAACTACTCTGTTCTAGTATAAAGCCAAGACCCACCAAGATATGAAGAAAGCTAACTACCACTTAAATCCAAACCTATAAAGACAGAGAGGAAGAACTCTGCCCATAGCTTCCTCCATACCAAATCTTAAGTGGAACTTACCTTCCCTCTGGATAATACGCAGACATCCACCATACCAAAAACGTACTGCCCAACATGCTCCACTAACCAGCCCACATGGATTATTAAGTATTAAAAAAAAAAAAAAATTCAAACCTTATTTCAGTAGTTGAGAGGAACGCTAGTTTAAGCTAAAACTTCATTTTGCAGAAAACTTTTCGTGTCAGTTTTATTTACCTTGTATATGTGACAAAGAGAGAGCAATGCAAGAATTTTGGTGGAAGGTAGGGACAGGAGTGGAGGTGGGTTGTCAAAGGGCAAGACTTTCTTTTTTCAAAGAGGAAAAAGTTCAGCTTAAGTTGAACAGGATGCTCCCTACAGTTACAGTGCCCGTATGGTCCAGACTGGACTGAATGTTAGCACTACACCAAATAAAAATATCTTATTCACTTGTGCAATGCATTGGGATTCTGGCCCCAGCTGTTGTATGACTGAACCAGCTGTTCTCAGGCACTTCTACACCTCCCTAAAGCCACATTTCATGTAAACTTCCAGGAGAATATTTCTCTAGGGGCAGTCATACCTGAGTTCACAGTCAGTCAGATTTGTCTGTAAATGTGCTAGCTCAAGTAACAGAGACGAGCATGTTTGTCCTCCTCAGCTCTTACCTGTAGAAGCTGAATTTGCACATACTGTGCTCCAGTGGCAGGGTCCCTTATTGTCAGCCCCCCATTTGGCAGAACAATGTTGCCACCCAGTCGACTGCCAGTATTGGATGATGAAAAGTTCGTAGGGCTTACTTTACCACCCTTGCTTTTCCTCTGACCAGAGCCAGAAGCCCCTGAAAAAGATGGTTTAATACTTAGATAGCCAGAAGCAATTTGCCAAAGTTTCTTGCTAGCATTTTTCAATTTTATGCAGTTAATTTACACTGCACCACTAATTAGCACTACATAGCAAACGCCTGGAACAGTGCAATATAATTAAGCACCATCTCATAGCTAAAAAGGCCAGACAGCAATCAGCTGATGAACTCCACCTGCTGACTGAACAGTTATCTTTCTACATGGATGCCATTAAAACCACATCACAAATTGCTAAGCTTAGGGCTCTCCCCTCTGGTAGAACAGAAATACCAGCACATTTGTTATAGTGAGGAATTAGGAACTAGAACTTTGTTTTCTATTTTTAATTTTGCAACTCATTTCCTGAGAAGTCATGTACACAATTTTTCCAAACTGAAAAAAAAAAAGCATAGTGAAGCAATGAAGTTTGCATACTTCCATGTCTGCATGACCTAAATTTCACCCTGCTCTTTACAAGACTAAAATCTAACAGAGATGTTTGAGTATTTCTGGGTAACTGAAAAAATAAGTTCCTTAACACTGCATAAACATTGTTACCAAGCGAAAAACAGAAGCAAGAGAAATCCAGCTGATCTTTTCATTGTCTGTACAGAATAAATGAAAACCCACAACGTAAGACCAAAAGCAACCTTAACTTTTTTCTACACGTTTTAATAAGAAAAAATAAAAAGCAAATGAAGAGACGGATGGATCATCTTTTTAAACATCACAGAACATAGGGTGCAAAGTTCTTTGTAAACTTACTGTGAATTTGATATTCCACAGAATGTCATTTTCTTAGTAACAGATGGTAAACCATATGCATAATTATTTTAACTACCAATAAATGGACGGGTTATTTAAGAATGTACTCTGATATCTGCTCCCATTTCACTGCCAAAACCCCTAAATACTTGTGTTTAACAAATTTAACAAAATGAGCATCTTCTCACCTGTGCTGCTCCCATTCCCTTTCTGTTTTCTTTTCTTGGCTAGCTGAATGGCTCTGTAGTCTGTTCTTGCAGACCCACTGCTCTCCTGAGGGGATAAAAAAAAAAAAAAAGAGGGGGGGGGGCAAAGGGTGCAAAGCGTTTTGAATGCAAGAACTAAGCAAGACAATGAGAACAGACTAATGAATTCCCAGTCATGGTTATCTTTTATATTGCAAACACTGAATTCCAGTTTCCCATGCTGTTCACATTAGGGTTTCAGTAACTTACCTGCATGTAGTTAATAACTGGAGTTCAACACAAAAGGAAGTTAGCTCCATATTTATAAGCTTTCAGATTTTAATATGCTAAACATCACAATAGAAAGAATACCTCATGCTGTAAATAAACAGGCTTCCAATAACATAAGAAAGCAGAAAGGAATGACTATTTGAAACAGCTATGGGAATGAGGACTAAGATGAAAATGTTTCAGTTACTCTCCTAACTTAAATCTTTTCCTGCATCTAATGTACATGTAATGTACATGAGATCATCTTGTTCCTGGGTTTTCTTGTACATCCCATTTCATTCTCAGATGGATGGTTATTTTTTAAATCCCTTATTTTGAAAGGTTTTCCCTCCACTCTCACCACCAGAATTCCAATTGTTCTTAACAGAACTTATCACCATGTTGATCACACTTCTGACAACACACAATTCAACATAACATCTTACATTCTTCATCCAAAAAAAAAAAGTCGAAACACATCACCTGCAAACTCCAAGAAAAGAGTCTGCCTATAAGGTGTAAGTAGCAATGGATAAATTCAGGGTGTCTCACTCATCTAAAGGTAAACAAGTATAGCTACTGCATACCAAAAACGAGCTGCCAGTGACTGCGCTAAGATCCATTTCTTTCTGAGCACTGTAGCTTCCTGGAGGGTTGGAGAAAACAAATTGAGTCACTACTTTGCTGCCCTCTTGCTGACCAACAACGTCCGAGCTGGGAAGCAAATTCCGTTCAATTTTAGTTGGCGTTAGTAACTCAGGCACGTTGGTACCACCAAGGCTACTAGAAGGAGTCAAAGTGGCTGTGTCAATTGTTAAATTATTGCTGGATGTCAAACTGTGCACATCTTGACTGGAATTCCTCACTGACAGAGACGCTAGCGAACCCAAGGCTTCTGCATTGACAGTCTGTACATCATCCAAATTTAAAGTGCTTTGCTGTAGAACTGTTGTGCTGGTTCCCAGCAAGAGAGAACTGTCCAGGCTCTGCGGCATGTCACTGCTGGCCACCAGTATCAAGGGATCAACCGCCTGACTTAAAGAACTGTTACTGACAGGCAGGTTTCCTCCGAGAGTTGAGCCCACCGAAGCAACATCTATCGTGACTATTCCAGAGTTCACTAACGCCATATCTGTTGCAATTCCAGAATTGTTACTTGACACGTTGGAGAACAGGGACACCAGGTCTATGTTGCTGAGATCACTTTGTCCCGGACTAGTAAGTTCGCTGCTGGGTGTGAGGGAGCTGGTTGCTTCAAGCTGAGTTAGGAGATCTGCAGCAGAATACAGTTTAAACATCTTTAATTGCTAGGACAAACAAAGAAGATAATGCTATGACTTATCAGGAGAACGAGCTATTAGGATACAAGAACATGGATAAGAAAGTGCACAAACAGACAATACTGTCATCTGCTCTTGGGGAACACAGTGAAGATAAAACAGCAACAGTATAGTAAAGGCAACTAATCTTTCTGGGCAGGGTTCAGGCCCCTTTTCATCAGACAACGGGGATGAAAGAATATGAAAGATCAAAGAAGGAAGCTTTTAGAAACTTTTAGGTGTTCAACTGCACCTTGCCACAGTTTGAAAAAAATTCGTTACCTGGACTGAAGTTGTGCTGTTTGACCATGTGTGTCTTCATACTGTGTTTGGAAGTGAACAATTTATTACAGCTTGATACAGGGCAACGCGTCTTTAATGAGTCCACATCCTGAAGATGTTTTTTGGAGTGAATATACAGACTACTACGTGCTGAGAATTTTGCGCAACAGCCTGCAAAAAGATACAGAAAGCTTTATAGATTCATCTAGCTTCATTTTGATGTTTCTTTTTACTGTCTTAACAAATCAAAACGGCTCTGCAGAACTCTATGTGTTGCTTTGCAGTGTCTGGACATATGTTCAGAAGAATCAGAAGACAGCCAAACATACATTTTCTTGTTTTACACTGAGGATATCTCAGTGGGTAGAATAGTTCAGCAATCTCTTTTCCGACAAGAAACACTAAATCATTCAGTGTAAAGTACATCCCTTCCTTACTGCATCATCTTAAGTGAAAACTCTTCATGCTGGCTGCTGGAAAAAAAAACATTAAAAGGAGAAACAATCACCAAGGGGAGCTGTTTTACTTTATGAGGAAGAATATTCAAGATCAGACACAAAACATTCACATTCCTGGAATCTTACTGAAGCAATGGATGTAGTGCTAAGAAACTCAGAGAGTCAGTTAGGTTCCCATGTGACCACAAACCACAACAGAAAACACTCACACTGCCTTTCCAGCAGCAGAGCCTATCACAGAGCAACCACTGAACACCCAAGATCACATCACAGCAGCAAAACGGAGCCTTGGAAGTGTTGGATGGTACTTTTCACTGCTTTTGATGAACCAAGCTTCTGATGCTGAGCTGCAGAAACTGAGCATCAAAAGTTGGATTTTCCAGGGTAAAGCAGGTTTTTTTTTAGCATGAAGAAAAAAAAAATAAACCTAGAGCAAGCCCTGTTTTCTTGGCAATCCATAAATTTGAAAACGATCACTCAGTTAAATTCAGTTACTTGTCTTCTGTTTTACCTCTTCAAACCGTATTAGAAGACTCACTCTGAATTTCTCTGATCCTGTACCTAGCTTGTGTCTGGAGAAAAGCACACAACCTTTAGGCTATATGTACAGCAATTATCAGTTAATGCAAAAGTTGAACTATACCTTCTACTGGACACTCAAATGGTTTTGTACCAAGGTGGGTTATGCTGTGGCCTTTCAAGTGTTCTGCTCTTGTGAAAGACTTCCCACAGCCTTCTACTGGACACGTAAATCTCCTGTCATCTTCATGTTTCCTACAAAGGAAGGAAACCACCAATGGCAAGATTAAACCCGCTGCTTAACTTCTGCAATAATAATGAAAAAATAATAAACAGCAAGTGACTGAGAAGAGCACAATCGGAAAAGGCTACCTTTTATGTCTCAGCAGCTTGGACATACTGGTGAAAGACCAGCCACAGCCTTCAAAGTCGCAAATAAAAGGCCTTTCACCTTAAGCAAAGAAAGGTTACATTAATAATATAATACCAAATTACACACTGCTATCAAGAAATCTCAAAAGCTGCTTAAATTCAATCAGATTAAGACAAGAAGACTTGACCACCCCCTCAGGCAAATGATTTCTGAGTAGCAATGCCACCTTCCCTCTCCTAAAGTCTGAACGTTGTTTAACACAAGGACTTTGTCTTTTCTCACGTGTACGTGGGAGCAAGGATTGTTATCAATCCATCTTGTGCTTGTCAAAACACATGGTCTTTCCTGGTTTTGTGCTCTTTTTTCGTTCAGCAATCACGGTCCATCCTGCCTTGTTTGTTTTCTAACACCAGACCTTCCCCAGTGTTCTCCTAATTTTCTCCCAAATACTCTTTCCAAATAACCCACAGCTATCTTGAAGTTGCTTCAATAACCAGTGATGACATTGTTCAAAACAGAAACATGACTGAGGATTTTTTCCTGTTTCCATGACCTGTGAATATATGTTGATTACAGTATAATGAAGTACTTGTATTTTCCACCACTTCTATTAACCTTCACTTAACAAAGTGACACTTCTTTAAACATATTGTAAAGCCATGAAACCAGGAAAACAAAGGACAGTAGCAAGTACACAAAATTGTCTTAAAAATACTAAAATATTGGATTTCAGCCTAGCAGTAGTTCTTCCAAGTCAGGAGTGCTTGCTTGTGTTGAAATATATCTTTGTGCTGTTCCAAGTCTTAGTACAGATGTTTTACATGCTCTGAGTATCTTTTTTAGCATCTTATTTTGAACAAGATTAGAATTTACACAGTGATCTGAATGTCTATGAACTTGGGAATAGAGCTGTGATAATTTTTACGAACAACCTCGCATGCCAAAAGCTGTATCTCTTGCATGTCAATTGTTATCTCAGATTTGGGCAGTATGTCCCGTGGACTCCTAGAATCCCAAGAATCAAACATTTTCACTGCCTTTAAGTAACTCATGTCTTTCTTCCTCTCTTCAAGACTGTCAGTCTTTCCAGCAAACTGAAATTCACCGTTGACACTTTCTCTTCTACATACTTCCCCAAGGCGCAAGTTACCCCTATGAATACCTGTGTGACTCCTCATGTGGATCTTCAGTCGGCAGGCCTTGTCATACTGCTTATTACAGCCAGGGAAGGAACAGGAAAACTGTTCTTGCTCTCTAAAGTGGGCTCGGTTGTGGGAGAATAACGCACTCACTGTGATGAATGTCCTCTCACAGCCTGAGGAAAGAAGGGAGACAGCAAATCAGCTTGGTACAGGAGTAGTTCAGGAAAGGTGTGCTGCTTTCTTGTGTTTTAGTTAGCGACCTTCATTGTCTTCCTGGATAGTACATCCAGATACAAAGAAAAAAACTATGATTGTGCTGTTTTTTATGTTATTTGCATCAATTATAGCCACTTAGACAAGGTGAGTGATCAGAACATGTAGAGCCCGGCCTAGGGCACACAGCCAAAGACCTGTGCTTCAACCTCAGGCTACCAAAGCCGTAAGGAAGGTGCCAAGCTCCCAGATAACCGGTGCGGGAACAGGAGCCTGCTGGAGACCCAGAAGGCGATCCCAAAACCGAGCGGGGGCTGCAGAACAACCGGCGGGCGGGGCCAGGAGCCCCCATCCCCATCGGGTGCCAACCCCAGCGGGTGAATAAAGGCACGAAAAGCCAGGGGACGATCGCGGCGCTGCCTTACCGGGGAAATCGCAGCGGTAGGGCCGCTCGGGCTCCAGGTGGCTGCGGCGGCGGTGGGCGGCGAGGCGGGCGGCGCTGGGGAAGCGCTGCCCGCACGCCTCGCACTTGTGCGCCGCCTCCTGCTCGTGGGCGCGGCTGTGGGCCCGCAGGTTGTAGACGGTGGTGAAACGCTTGGAGCAGCCGGGAGCGGAGCAGACGAAGGGCCGCAGCTTGTCGTGCGAGTGCAGGTGGCGCCGCAGCTTGTAGGCGGTGGCGAACGACCAAGCGCAGCCCGGCACCTGGCAGCTGAAAGGCCGGGCAGCCGTCACCACCGCCGCCCCCCGGCCGTTCTCCTCCTCCTCTCCTCCTCCTCCTCCTCCTCCTCCACCGTGAGCAGTCAGGCGGTGCAGCCGCAGCTGCTGCTTGCGGGGAAAGGCTTGGCCGCAGCGGGGCTCCGGGCATGGGAAAGCCGGCGGGGAGCGCGGCCGGGGCCCGCCCGGGGGCTCGGAGGAGGATGAGGATGAGGCTGAGGTTGACGAGGCGGCCGCAGGAGGAGGTGGAGGAGGAGGAGGAGGAGGCAGCGCGGAGCCCGCGGCCTGCTGCTCGGCGCCAGGGCCCCAGCGTCAGGACGCCGTTCTCGATGCGCACCACCAGGCTCTGGTTGTTGATGGTGATGGTGCCCGAGAAGGAGCCTTCCTCCTCCTCATCATCATCATCCTCTGCCACCTCACGGGCCGCCGGGGACGGAGGCTGCGGAGGAGCAGGAGGATGGTGGTGGTGGAGGAGGCGGCGGCGAAGAAGCGGGGGCCTCGCCCTCCTCCTCCTGCTGCTGCTGCTCTCGCCCCGCTTCCCCACAGCCCGGGCCGGCCTCGGCGGCGCCGCGCACCACGTTGAAGACGAGCAGCAGCCCGTCGCTGTCGGGTGGCGGCGGCGGTTGCGGCCCCGCCGGCGGCGCGCAGGGGCCGGGCAGCGGGCTGGAGCCAGGCTCCGGCTTCTCCTCCAGCAGCAGCACCGGGAAGCTGACGTAGAGGCCGGGCGAGGAGGAGGAGGAGGCGGCTGAGGAGGAGGAGGCGGCGGCGAGCGGCGGTTGCCAGGCGGGCGGCGGGGCGGCGGGCGGCGCGGCGGGGCCGCCATGTTGGGCGCCGGGCCGGGCCCGGGCCGCCTCCGCGGCGGGCAGCCCCTGCGTTTCCATCTTGGGGGTCCCTGTAGCAGCGGCTGAAACCGGAGCCGCGGGGCGGGGCCGGCGCGGCCCGCGGGGAAACGCGGAGCGCGGAGCCGCGCGGAACGGAGCGGAGCGGGAGGCGGGGAAAAGGTGGAGAGCGGAGTTGCGGAGCGGAGCTGCTGCAGGAGTGGGGTTGGGGCTGTGCTGCCCTACAGAGGCACCGCTGGAGGTGTTTTATTGTTATTATTAATGTTAATTCAAGGGAGAAGGTGTGGCAGTGCAGAACCATGCAGCCATGGTGGGAGAGTTGGAATATGTGAATGGTGTAGCAAAATGTGAATGTTTTGGCAAAATAGCCTATGCACTGCTATTAGGATCATGAAAACAGCATTATGAACCAGCCCTGAGAGACACAAATTATTTCCCCCACGTTGAAATCCTGGCTGTGCTGCTCCCTCACCCCAGCCCCTCAGAGAGGGAACCCAGCAAGAAATCCTACAGTAATTACCTAGAATTATTAAGGCTGGAAAAGGCCTTCACGACCACCTGGCCCAACCCTCCCCCTGCTGCCAGTGTCACCAACAGAGGGACAGGCAGAAGCGAGTGGCTGAAGGTGGTGGAAGTCCTAAAAAACAAAACAAAACATAAAAACACTACAAAGGTAGTTAGTGCATAAAGAGTGGTGTGCATTTTTTTTCCTCCCCAGTTATTTGGGAGAGCTTCTCTCGCTCCAGTCTTAAGCAAAATGGAGAACTCTGTAGTTTGTGGTAGAAATAGCGTAAGTCCCAGCAGATGGTGCTGTGATTCTTCCACTGGGCAAGTTTCTGCTTTCCTTGGAGCAATTTTGCATCAGATCTCCAACAGCAAGGATGGGGAGCTGCTGTCCAGCCACACTTGGCTCTGGGGAAGCTGGTACTTGTTGCAATACCGCTGTAGGTGCCTCCACTCTGCACCTCCACAGCTGTCCTGTGCAGAGGCTGAAGGCTCTGGGTGCCTGAGCTCAGCCTCCCCAAAATCCCTGTTAGCCCCGTGCTGACTGGGTCAGGGTCAATCCTCTTGTTGGCTGCCCCTGGCCATCCTGATCTCACCTCTGAGCAGCTCTCCTTCGCGTTCTTAGGAAAAGAAAAATCTGCCCAGGACCTACTGCTCAAGCCATAGGTTCATCCCCAGTTGAGAGATGTCAAAGCTGAAGGATAAAACAAAAAAAAAAAGCCACAAATCTAATTTGCCATTGCCAGGAGAGACTAACTAGAATCTTGCTCAGGAGAGCAAGCAACAGACATCAGAAACTTTATGCAGTCAAAAAGCCACTGTACTTAGACACACACATCTTGCATGTTGTTCTTCCTCCCAAGGCTCTGATGTTCTCTTGCCTCTATCTGCAGCCACACAAAAGGTTTACAGACAAGTGTCTGTGTTACGAGGAAAGCATCGAGGTACTGCAGCTCATAGGAAGGACACCAGCCTGTGGCAAGCTTGGAACCTCACTACAAAAATTCACTACTTCTATATCCACTGTCAGGATCTGATACAATGACAGGCAGATGCGTGGTTTGAGAGACTGCTCTGCCTGCATTGAGCTTTTCCAGCGGTGAGGTCATCCTACCTAGAAATGACATCTGCATCCTCACTGAACGAGACAGAACAATTGCTCATTCATAGTCCCAGTTTCTCTGCAAACAAGCGGAGAGCAGAAAAAAATAAGGAGGCTCAGCCTGAGCTCAGAAAGGGAATCTTTGAGCACACAGAAGCCATAGGCCAGGCCAGGGCAAAATCACCTTCTGTTTCCTCCCAGCAGGCAGGAACAGGTTGCTGTTCCCCTCTGCTTTCCCAAAGGTACTGTAAACCTCAGTTCACATGTGTTGAGTAATTTGAAATATACCATTAAAGGACCACAAAGTAGACTAAGAGTATACACATAACTGCATGTACTTTATAACTCAGAAATTATCATTGCCTTTCTGTAATCCCTTTGCCATATTCATACTAATTAATAGACAAATATTTCATAGCCTCATCTTCAGCTAGAAGCTCTCGCATATACCTTCAGGTGCCGTGTCTCCCTACAGGTAGACCAGAGTTACAAACTCCCAGGGACTTGAGTGACATTAATATAGTCATACTTGCAAGGTTATGTCCTCTTGGCAGTAAAGTTGCAAGGAGGAAAACAGGGTTCCCTTGTTTTGTCTGGGATGTGAAGGTGAGCATGCTGGCAGGTGTCTCAGTACTAAATAACACAATGGTGAAAAACTCATGATGACTATGGAGCAGCTGTAGATTCTGTAATACAGAAAGCCATTATATTCTCTGCATGTTCCTCATAACAAAACAGTACCCCAGTTCTTTGGGGCTATGAAAACTAGAGTGGTTTTGTATGATAGTTACTGAGATGCCAACTTCAGGCCCAACCCAGTGTGGTTATTAATAATAGGTAACGCATAACATATGTCAAAGCAAAGGCTGTCAAATCTGGCTGTCAGCTACTCACATCTCAATCGTACAACTTGTCAATGTGTGCGTTTTTTCCATAATGTAAAGCAATTCCAATGAACTGCAGATTGCACTTCACAGAAGGTTCAGCTGCTAGCAGATGCCAGACTCTCACTATTCGTCTGGAGACACACGCAGTATGTGAACAGAGTAAAGAACTGATTTCTGATAAAAAAAAAAATAATTAAAAGGTTTTCTTTGCCTGACACCAGAGGCAATACAGGGGTGCAGAGATTGCACGCTTGTTAAGTGCCACAGGATCTAACAATTATTTGCTTTCCTGAGGCCTGACAGTTCAAAGGACTGCAGCTCATCACTCACCTGCAGCAGGCAGCATGGGTTTACCTGTGTAACCCCCACCTTCCCACCATGGGGTGATGGATCCCGTGCCAAGCAAATCGAGTCCCAGGCTGGATCAGCGGTGCATGTCCAGAATTACGTGCACACTGAGGCAGGGACCGCTGGCACTCTGTGTTCCTGTCAGAATGAGGCCCGTAGGCAAGGGCCATACTTAACAGTGAGGCTAATGATAGCTGAGAACTATTTTTGTACACATACCAGTATGTAAAACATTTCTCTGTGTGTGCATATAAATATAGATATACATACATGCATCTGTTGATATGTATGCGTATAGAGAGTTCATTCACAGTTAGCCTCAGATTTCACTTCAGCCTCATAGCTGATTAGAACAAAATATACTTCAGTGAGCTACTGTTAACAAATATAACGGTAAGTTCAAGTGCAAAATAGGAAGTTTCTTTTGGTTGCATCCAGGCATATTGGGGTCTGTGTCTTCCTCTCTCTTTCTTGGAAGAAGAGAGGCCAAAAGACCTTTTTATCTCTCCCTTTATAACCGTTTTCTGTGTGAAAGAAGCCCATATCATCCTGTCCTTGATGCTTTAATTTATTTCTTATGAGAAAAAGTCAGCCGGCACTCAGGATCTAGATTCTATGAAGGTTTCCATCCATTTGGAAACTGCTCAAGTGCAGTGTGCTTCTACAGAAGAAACCCATTGGTGTTAGGCAGCAAAGCACACTGCAGATTCAGCAGCAGTGTGCTTTGCTGCCTAACACCGATGAGCACTGAGGCAGAATTTGACTGCCACTAATTTATTATGAGCTATTCCATGTTTTTCTGGCCTTAGTCTAAGATGTTTGGAAGTGGTCTACTACTTACCACCCTCTGGTTCTCCTCCACCACCACCACCACCCCTCCCAACCTACCTAAATAACTGGCACTAGATTCTGTTCTTTTTTCTCAGGTAACGATTTCAGGGAGAAACACATGCAGGCAAGCTGCACTGGCCATTTACAGTTTATCTGTCTGTTTCTGTTGTAATAACTAAATGTTTTTATGGTGATACAGAAAAGTTTGATTCCAGCACACGTAATATTAGTACATACTCCTACAGCCAAAGAATAAATCTGTTTTACAAATCAACATGTTGACTACTGGATTTCATGACTATTTGCTGATAGCAGCAGACTGAATTAGGACACAGTTCCAATTTCCAATTCAGAGTCTGATCTGCTAGAGCTAAGAAGTCTCCTCAAATTCTGAATTATCAGGAATATTTTTATATATATGGGACAAAATTCCAGTTCATTTTCTTAAAATGAACAGTTTCTCATTGCAAATACTCCTCCATTTTGTTAGTGAAAAGGCTGTTCCTGACAACAGTGGACCTGTCACAGACCAATACAGGCCTGCACTATTAACAAGGAAAAAAATAACAACAACAAAAACTCACATGGAAGAGACAGTTGCAACACATTTATCATTTGCACAGGTAGGATATCAAGGAAGCAGCTTCAAATGTTTCTGCCAGGATAACAGTGCACTTGGAATACCACTAACTTTGCAGGGCTTGCTCTAAGATGTCTTCATCTGCCACCTTTTGAGGAAGAGTCACCTTCAACATGACATTCTCTTTCATTGCTTGGCAGATCGTTTCATAAGCATAGTCATTACCCGACCAGCAGCGTCTTGCAACCTGTCAGACAAGAAAATCAATGAGTGTAAAAATCGTACATTTCTCATGCCACATCCCATCTTATGCAGTATTTGTGCAAACACTGGCACCCAATTTCATTACAATAAATCTTTCAGCTCTGCCAGTTTCTAGTTTCCTTACTAATTTTGGAAGTAATTTGTTAATAGGTACTTCATTTTCATGAGTATTTGGATAGTTTTGAAACATTTTCATGCAGAAGCATATGGCTGGGCTGATAACATTGGTAGAGCCATGTACTTTAGATACTTCCCAAAATTCTCTCTACAAAAACTTACGTACTCCATCCCAGTTTGGTAAAAACAAGCCTTTTATTTAGATAATAGTCTGATTTAAGCAACTGATGCTTTTTCAGTTGGATAAATAAAAGGATAAATGACACTCAATGCATTTGCAAAATACTGAAATCAAGGAGCCAAATTCTCTGCCAGCATGTATGAGTGAAACTCCACAGGCAGGCAGGCTCTTTCAATAAAGAAGTTCTGCATTTAGGTCTGTGAACAAGAAAGGTATCCCAGATGAAAAAACATCGTGTATTGGCACAAAGGAAAGAAGCACTTGCTTGTATCCAATGCACTACAAGTCTCTGCATTATGAATTGCATATCAGAGTGTGAAATATTCAGGCTCAAATGTGTTCAAGCAAGAAAATCACTCAGTTCCGATTTAGCAAAATATTTACACATCTGATTAATGTAGGGCTAATAAGAAGTTGCCAGGATCATAGCAATAACAGCTAGAAATGACCTTTCAAGTCAGCAACTCAATTTCCTTGCCACTCACCTATGATTATTCCTGGCAGTATATGCCAGTGAATGTATTTAGTGAGTTTTACTTACTCCATTGGAAACATCCCAGCTGAGCATCATTTTAGCTCGTTCTTCAGCCTCTGTGGACCCATCCAAAACCAGGCCAAATCCCCCATTGATCACTTCACCCCTAAAAATATAAACATAATAGAATTCAATCAAAAGAACTGGAGCCAATCCCACAAAATCTACAGGAGTTAATTTGTTCAGTTGCACTGGAGGAAGGATGAAAATAGAAATTACACTGAATAAGAGAAACTAACAGTGACCTCTTAAATACTTAAAACACACAAAAAAAAAAGGGGGGGGGGGGTGGGGGAGAGCTAGTTTCCTGAGCTGCATAAAACCTATTCTACCTTTCATGTAAGTTCTGCTAGCAGTGAGTATCTACTCCAAGCAGGTGTGTCAAAAACTAAGCTTATGCTGTGTTTCCTGGGGACCGCACTTTATAGTGGCTCTAGAAACAAGTAAAGAAAGGTTAGCACTTCTGATGGACTAGAGAGTTACCTATCTTCGGGTATTTTTGAAGGTTAAGCTATTCGTGTTTACTACACTAGAGCCTGCCATATACTTAGGATCACTGAGGAGGATTGTGTACTTACTGAAGCAGACAGATGGATCTATTTATATTCTCTCAAGACAAATGAGAGAGCATCTCTAATTAAAAAAGTGTTAACCACTGCTTAATGCACATCTGCCTTGATCATTTCAAAAGTTGTCATTCATTTTGTATGAGATATGTAGATGTTTAAAGACACCAGTGCCAACTTTTCAGGAAGCAGACTTATTGGCAGAAGAAGAACAGAAACATGCTCCAAACAGACCGTACTTGGGAGAAATACCAGTCTGGTTTTAAAAGGACAGGGAAAACACAGAGAAAAACATCTTGTCTCACTTCAAAATCTGGTCTGCTCAAGTTCCTGCTTTGTTGCATATGGTGAATAGTAGAGAATACAGTTAGAAAATTATCTATTGCTGTAAATCTGTAAGAGACTTCTAGCACTATAACCCAGCATCAGCAATGTGTGAGATGAGGCATGTTTTACAGCAAAGCAACATGTGGTGTGAGAGAATACTAACGAAGGTCCTGGAGGCAAGATTTGTCCTCAGTGTTTTATAGTTAATAGAATGAGTATATTCACAAAATTTACTTAGAATAACATCGGACATACCCATGAATCAGGCAGAAGTTAGGTATCCAGAAAAGAATCATTTCTTACATTTTCCAGCAGTAACTTTTGCTTCTCAGGAAATGGGAAAAATCAAGCTGCATTGGAGCCTCAAACTTGATCTGCTTTGTGAAACTAAAACTCACATTTTTCCCCTTTTCAATGTTATGTTGTTAATTACGTGATGTTAATTCCCTTTCACTGGTTATATACACTACCTGTGTGATAAGTAGGACCTTGTCTCATAGCTGAGCAAGAGACTCAGAGCTCCAGGTATCACAATGATTCTACCCATTATTGGAACTCCCTCCACTTTGCCATTGTTAGATATATTGCTACTTACAAATACTATTTTATCTTGAAAAAAATTTTTTTTCAACAAACTGTTTGTCATAGCAGAATATCAGAAGATTAATCACTTTCTTATATTTAGCAGGAAAATCTGAAACAAAATCATGTTTTAACTGAGGTGTTTGAATATTCTAACCTCTGACATTCAAAATAAAACATTTCATTTTGATTGACACTCAACGTGTTTCAGTTTGGAATTTAATTCCTAGGATTTTCTTACTGTGTGAAATCTTTCATTAACACTGCTCTAGGTCTCATTTTGGGATGAAAACAAGCATCCAAACATTTGTATTTCTTGCCAACTCTACTTTTTGAATGGCTCATGTTACTATCTTCTCCAAAAGAGGATGACCAGATTGGACTACAACATTACAAGTGTCACCGTATGAAGACCATGGCCAGTTACCACACTACACTCTGCTTCTGTTGTGTACAGAGACCAAATTGACAGTAAAGAAAGACCTAGTGTGAAAGTATAAGCCCAGAGTATACTTACAAATATCAGTTATGGCATCAGGATCATAGTATGATCACACCTCAAGGCAGCCTGCTTATGATTTCAGACAATAACAAGATGAGACTTCTGAATTGGTGCTTTGTAAAGATTATTCACACTGACAGATGATGTTCTGTCAGTGGTAGAGATCCCCTCTATGCACAGCATCCCAGAGAGCATCCTTTGAAGCTCAAGCATCAGCAGTGAGCGTCTGATCTGGCTTGCACTCCATAAATTCAAAGTCTCTCCATCAATTTCCATGGAGTTACCCCAGTGTAAATCAGAATTACTCATCAGAATCTGTCCTACTGTCTAAAAATCACTCATAAATTAGATGTCAGCATTTGTTAGGATGGATTTTCTAGCAAAACCTCTCACTTTTAAAGGGGAACTCTCTGCCTTCATTAGCATTGGGTCATATTTTCAGGTAATTAAAGAAACATGTGGCATTTTGACCTAAGCTACCTCCTATAATTTCCAGATGTCTCCTTCTAAGGTGATCAAAGAAAACAAGGCCTCTCTCACAAACAAGATGTCACACTGTCAACAGCTCAGTTCAATTCTTAAATTACTTCTGCCTTTTTGTTACTATAGGTTACCCAGGCTCCATGCTAACATATATTCTCCTGCAAATAAAGAGGCAGCAAGAAATGAATAACATTCATTTGCTGTAATTATAGTCAAGACCATGTTAATCTTAAACCTCTACAACAGCACATGATGCAGATTCCAGCTAAATATTAATCCTGCTTTTTTCTCTTTGCCCACCAGGCTATTGTGCAGGATGTCAGAGCAAGTAAAATACATCCCTCTTGTCTCAGAAAGACGACACAGCAGATCTCTCAACAGATCCAGGCGAGCCCAGCCTCTGCAAGGAGGACAGGGAGCTTGGCACAGTGCAAATGCTATTTCTGAACTCCCTGAACAAAAACAGTACAATGGCAACTTCATTTCCTTCTAATCATACGCATGTTTGTTTATAAATATATGTTTATTGCTTATAAATATAAGCTTTCACATGCTTCACATTTCCAAATCAGCTGACAAGAATATTTTATCAGGCACATGGAGATTTCTTTACAACAAAGTCAGCTGAATTTTTACCTCCCCAGAGAGAAAGCAAAACAGTCCTAAAAACTAGAAGCATCTGTCTTTCAGGCAAGGAAAGTCATTTATAATGGTTGGGGGATGGTTTTGCTTCTTTTCCCACCTTTAAATTATTCCTCTCTTTCTCCTGAGAAGGCAGAGGGGCACCGTGCTTTAACTAGCCCGGGTGGTGCCGTGATTAGTTAAACCAAGCAGAACCACCTGTCGTGCCACGGCTTTCGGGGCTCTGCAGACCACGGCATCTAATGACATGACATTGTTACTGCATCTGAGTCCCAGCATGGAGGCTTATTAAAGCTCATGCAGAGACAGGACTAATTTTCAGGCACCGCATTCTTCACTGAAGCACAGTCATTTAATCACAGAGGGTTAGGACTACTCCTGAGAACAAGGTGAGCAGACACTGTGCCACAATGACAAGTCACTAAGCAGCCATAGGAGCTGGTGAAGAGGACAATCAAGCCCTGCTTTTCCATGGATATTTTGATTTCAGTGAATAGTCACATGCTAGCTTCCCAATTCATTACATAAATGACAGCACCTTTCCTCTGCCTGCAGGGACAACTTCTTTCCAATGATGCAGTTTCACTGCAGAAGCAACAATACAATGAAACTGTATTCCCAGTTTTTCCAGAAGTCAGGGCAGTCTCACCATTGATTCACTCTGTTTTAATTGCTCACAGGGCTAGGAATGTGCAGGAGGGATTGGTTTTATAGAGGCCAGAAAGAGACAGGGAATAAGATCATCTTGATTAAGCATCATTAATGCACAGAACACTCATGGCATAAGCAATTACTTAAGCAATTCCAGTAATTATAATCACCATGAAAACATTCCAAGTATTTTGCACAACAGTTAGCGGAAAGTGTTTTTCTTCTCTTGTATTCCATAAGCAATGTTTTAGAAGGTTAAACTCAACTAAAGCCATTCAGACAGATCTAGTCTGCTACTATCTGGAGTCTATCTCTATCTGGAGACTGCAATGACCAGAATAAGTGGATATTCTGGTATTTTCCATTCAGAATTATGGAAGTTGTGAATAAAATCCTGACCGTTGTGGTTGTTACAACTGAAATCAGTAAAGTTAGATTTTCACTCCATGTGTCTAAGCCCGCAGAAAACTTCCTTATCCCATTGTTCAGTTTTGCTTTTGCATACCTTCTATTCAGTAGCTACTTCACTGAAAAATCAAAGGAGGTAGAGTACAGGGGAGGGAATTCTCCATCTGACTTGAAGGGTTATTTTTCTAGCTCTAGCTCATCCAGATGAGTAATAACTAGGTATCATCAAGTGTCTCTGAGGAAAACATCTGCAACAAGTTCTTTAGTTTGCTGCTGTTGGCATATTCCAGAGCTGGATGAAACAGTGAAGTAAGAGATCACTAGAGTATTTAATAGAGGGTTGTCCTCCTTTTGACTGGCTACACGACAAAATTAAGACATGACTGTAAATGGGAGAGGTTTTGCTGGACTGTGCCATAAAGAACAAACAAGAGTTAAATACTCTGTAGTGTACCCAGGCTTTCCTTTACCCTTAGCCTGTGCCAAGCCAGAGTAGCCTTTTAGTAGCATATGAAGGAGATTAATTTCCCTCTCAATAAATGATAGTTCTTTCATTCTGCTTCTTAGTCGAAGCATTTATCCTAGTTCTGCATCTTACGTGAAGAAGGTGCTTAATCAAGTCCTTGCTTAGTTGTAGTCTTTTATGGTACCACGCAGAAACAAGGGGAGAAAGAAGAGTGGGGGGTTTGCTGGCACCTGAGCTGTTTTGTATCAACAACCCCTCGTTGCACTTTAGCACATGGGCATTTATATTGGGGTCCTAAGGTCACAGATTTAAATACAGCTTAAGGGGAAATCTAAACATAATCCATCCACTAACACTCTGGCTGTGCATGTGTGAAGACAACTTTGGAAACGGGATCTGTTCAAAAAGACCATGGCAGACTGTCCTTGTTTTGCAAATTAAGTTCTCCAAACTGTGCTGTGGCCAATGTCTAAAACACTTTTTCTTGACATATGAACATTAATTAAGAGAACCTCATACAACACCACACTTTACCTTATAATGCATCCTTCCAGCCCTTGTCTCCAAACCCATCCTTCCCATCATACTTCTCCAGTCATACGCACACCTTCTCTAAAATTCACCTCCTGTCTCTTCTCCCCCCACACATGCACAGCAGCAATAACTGGATTCAGAGTCCAGCTTTAGAAAATAAAAGTAAAGCTCTTACCAGCCAACTCCACCACCGTTGTGCAGTGCAACCCAGGTTGCTCCTCTGAACGCATCTCCTACGAAGTTTTGTACTGCCATGTCTGTGAGGAGAGAAAAGGAGTTACCAGGGCTCTGACATGCTGCATTTGTTTTTGTTGTTGTGCTGCTCACTTCCTTCCACTGCCACCTCGATTATGGCTGATTGAAGGCAGTGTTGGAAGCAGGGCTTACACACAGCTTCTCTCACATATATAGTAAATATCTCATGTTGGGTGGGGGGCAAACAGGCATGAGTTCTCCCATTCTTTCTTTCCTCCCTACACTGCAGGAACCAAATGCTGATTTCACACCGTGGTTTACAAGGAGTTTTATGTATTTGTGATCCAGTTCAAGAAGCTGAAGAACGTGCCGCTCCTCAGCTGGGAGGTAGCTCCTGAGCGTGGAAAGAAATACAGTCCTCTCCTTGGGAGTGCCTCAGTCATGGAACAGGCTGTACACATCCACATAGAAGATTTCAAAGTGAGGGAACACTTGGAAAACTACATACCTCGTAGCTCTCAGGAGGGCCTGAGCTGAAGTATTTTCAGATCAGACTGAGGAGTTAATTCAGCCCTGTGCAGAAAACCAGTCTAAAGCTAACAGGTTGCATTTTAGGAACAGTCACAATGAAAATGATATAAGCTGCCATTCTCTGGACACAGGAATTTCACCCTCAAAACTGGGACTGTTGAAATCACATGGGATATTTCTTTTGTTTTAATAAATGAAGAAAAATAAACGTAGGAGCCAAATGTAACTTGACTAATGTTAAATGCACGATATCTGCTGAAGTGTTCACTAGAATTTCATGTTCACTACAACTTGCGCTAAAAGATACACCCAGAGAGGTGGAAAAAGGTACACACTGAGGATAAGAGTAAAAAAAACACTTGTCCAGATTTAATTCAGGAGCAATAGATTATTTGCTAAGCTTTTAACAGCAAAAAATGGAACATAGCAAATGTCCCTAGTCACATTTGTAGACCTACAGTAGTTACACGTCTGATGGAAAAATGAGTTTACTTGAGCACTAATCTATGTTAAACCCTGTCAAAAGCCCCATTATGGCACCTTTTATCTGGCATTATGTCACTTTAATAACCCAATTATCATAATTACAGTGCTGTCAGGAGGAAATGGGAGAGATTCAAATCCCTATACTCTAAAAATGTACAGATTTCTTCCTCAGCCACTTGCATGATAAGAGTGGAGCTTAGATAAGGAGCACGGTAAATAGACCAACAACGTAGTAACACTGTGCTCTTTGGTTTCAGTAAAGGTCACTAACTGCGCAAATGTCTGTGCTGAAATACTCTGCAGAGCAGCGATGACCCATTTGACAGGGATCAGACTGAGGTACTTACTGCAAAACAAAATGACACAGGCAAAGACTCAAAAATTCCTTTTGTGCCAGAGAGGAGCCAATTTCAATCGAACTAGCTCAAATTTGGCATTAAAACAACAGATAAGGAGGGAGAGAAGAAAGAGGAAGACCTAAGATGCAAGGTGTTCTTTAATTACCTCCAGAGGCTCATCTGGAAAACAGAGTTAGACTTGGTTTTAAAGACCAGTGAAATCAGTGGTCAACAGGATTTGGATAAGCCCATGGAGAAGGCAAGTAGTTCATTTAATTCACAAAACTCAAAGAAAAACAGATAACATAGTAAGCAACTGGGTTAGCAGGCCTTGTTTCTATTTGCCTTCTTCTGAGAGCATTGCCTGGTGTTTACTTATATGGTTAGGCTCTTTGGTGGAGACTTCAATTTGGATTGCTGTTCTCTGTGCAGCTGCACCATTTTCTCACAGCTTGGCAGAAGCAAACATTATTTCAGGCCTCTATCCATCTGGCACATTAGAACCAGCCAACATACTCAGAAAATGTTGAAGTGGGACTGATAGGTACTGCTAAAAGCCTCGTTTCATCAAGCAGTCCATTTAAGATAGCAGGGAACTTTTCTCCTTAACATTGAGCCATAATTTGTTTCTATTATGAATTCTCAGTCATAATGGGAGCCATTCAATATTCTCAGCTACCTCAATCATAATTTCTCTTTCTACAGCAGCTTGCATCCTCCTCTCTGAAGTCACTTCATGATTGTCAGTTCATGGCATGTGATAACACTACCGGGCTAAAATTATCGTCATCACTTCCACTTTACGGATGGAAAATTGAGGAAGACTTAGGTTAAAAACATTTAGTGCTTCACTCATTTTTCACATCTGCAGTCTGATATGTGTTGGATTTATTTTTTTCTAAAGCACCATTTCACAATCTTAAGAGCAGATTCTGGTTAGCTCAGGTCAGGTTTCTTTTGAACAGCGAGTGTACATAATTTGCCCAGTGTCACACTGAGTGAGCAACAAGGTTTAGAATATAATCCAGAACTCCTGACTTCCAGTTTTGTGCTTTCACTAGCAAATGTATGTACCCTTATGCCCAGAAAAGTTCCTCTCAGAAACTCCAAACTTCTGAGTCCTTGATTTTGCTTTAAGCAAAATGCTGCTACAGATGTGATTTTGTGCATCTCAAGGAAGTACTGCTGTAATTCTGGTCAGATCACCTCTTTGAAAGAGTGAGGTGCAAAATTAAAATCAAACACAAGATGCAGTCCTCTAAAACAGATTGCTCTCCATTTACAGTGAAGTAAATCTGGTGCATCTTCATTGAATTGTCATTGTTTTGAGCCTCTCCTATTTATCTAGCTCTACAGTCATTTCTTTATCTCTTGACAGCTATTCACAGAAAATCTGATTAATTAGGATTATAGGGTTGAACAGAAACATTTCAAAATGTTGCATAAAAAAATCTCTTTTAAAGCAATTTTCTTGTTTGCCTGTACAGACAAGTCTCAGATGCTCTGCTGACCTGCGCAAAAGGCTGATCCATCATAAATGTTTGACGTTTCTCTGTAAGGACTGTCAGTCCCGCTCACATCATGGTGATCTCGGCTGAGGACTACTGGAGCCTGCAAAATCCAAGGACAAGCAAATGGAGTCCTTCATGGACTGGAAATGTTACCACAGATCATATTTTGCTGAATTCACTTTATCTGAAGTCATCTCAAATCTCAGCTTTGTTCCATCTCCTAAACCCCCTAAATCTCCTCTCCCTGCTATTATTTATTAGCAAAGGGACATTGATATGCTGCTTGTTCATGAGAGTCATCATCATTTCATAGCCAGCAAAAGGAGTTTGTTCTTTTTGTCAGTGCCATCCTCAAATAGGACAGGAAGAAGAAGAAAAGTAGAGTGGCAATTTCACTGAAGCCTTTCATTGCTGAAATTTCAAAGACACTTCAGAATGCAAAAAATCTTCCTTCACAAGTACTTATTCCTCTGAATAACAAATAGCAAATATTACTGTTTTCATTCTTTTGGAAGACTTCAAGACTAAAAATAAGGCAACAATGAAAATTACTGATCTCCTGCATCTCAAACAAGTCCATTCTTGATTTGGAATTTAACTAACAGTATGAATCTAGACCAGCTGCAGGTCTTGCACCAGGCTTCTGTAAGAATTCACTCTTTTGGCATGGTTTGGTCTAGAATTAGCTGGCTTTGTTTTATGCTGGCAGTGGATTAGAAAATAATTGAAAATAGAAATGAGTACCCAGCTTGCAAGAGGAGGAATGGAGATTTGAAGAAATGAAAAAAGTACATAAAATCTGAAGGGCCTGGGAGTCTGACCTTGTCAGTCACAGCTCCATGGGAGTGCTCTGCCTGGTCAGGTTTATTTTTTAAGACTAGCTTGCAGTGATGTTCGTTTTGAATCCCGAGAAGGTCAACAGCTCAACATTTGAAATATTTTAAAAAACATTTTCTGCGTAACAAAAACACAAGCCTTCCCTAGCTAGAATCCATTTTAAATTTTACTTGAATTTGCTCCTTTTAATATGGCAATTATTGTAGTTTGGCTATAAAAGAGATTGAGATGAGTAAACATGCCTAGGTCTGCTGCTGCTGTAATACACCCAGCAGGGACACTGATGAGGACTGTTTAAAAGCAGGTATCACAATCTTTCAAAAGTTAAGGAACAATTTTGAATTAAATCAGTAGATGTAATAATATGGCTGAAAGCAAGGGATTGAGGGTACGAAACACTGGGCAGCGCCATGGCCTCTTGTTATGTGTCATCTTGGGGCACTGCTAAGGAGTTTGAGACCCTGTCTTGTGTTTTCAGCAAGTCACAGTGTGGTGCCTGCAGTTGCTCAAACATAGAATAAAGCAAATTTCCAACATGAAATAAAGGGCAATGTATTTCAGTTTCTGAACCTGTCTCTTCCTTTACACAACACAATACTGGTTACTTACAGAGGAGGACTGACCTTTAACATATTTTAACAGAATGGTCCCACGTAAATGACAGGCATTTCTGCTCTTATTGATTGAAGCTTTCTTTTTCCCACCTGCCACCCTAGCCTCAGATACTAAACACAATTACTGGACCATATCAGGAGGAAAAAGGCAAACCTTAATCCTTCCTTCAGAAATCGCTCGATTAATAGCCACAGCTATAGACACACGACCCCTCTGATCAGAATATAAGATTCTAGCTTGAGAGCCGACAACCTGCAAAATAAAAAAGCCAGAGTGATAAGGTTCTCTGTGCAACTGGCTTATCTTCAGGTCCCAGATAGATATAGTCACAGGATTGCCTCCTTCTGTAGGAGAAAGTACAGATTATTCATTCATCAACATCCAGCTTCCAGAAAATATAAATTAAAGCCCTTCTTTGAACTGAGTTATATCTCCACTTGCACAAACAGTGAGATGTATTTCTGTATTCAGCCACTACTGTCCAATAAATCCCGTTTTTAAAATCAACCTGATTGCTAAACTATAATCCCCCTATCAACAAACCCCTTATCAACATCTGAGAAGCAGAGGTTTGGAACTGGTGGTGGTGGGCTGGAAGGGAAGAGAAATACAGAGACAAAGAATGTCAAAGAACATCTGTCCTTCACTGCTATGCTCCTCTCCAGCCTTTACTCCACAGACCAGTCTGGTTTCCAGATGAGGAGAGCACATGTAAGCCCTTCAGTATTACCAGTTAGCTTCACAGTGAGAGCCTGCCCTAAAATAAAAACAAGGGATGTTTCATTGTCATCCTGCTTCCCATAATATAACATACCTGTTTTGAAAGGGGAACTGAGAACTGTAGGCCTAATGAGGTTGGGCCAAATGAAGGACATTTTGAATGGTGCTGAAAGGTAGTTACAAATCAGGTGGAGAAAGAATCACTAGCCTGTTTCACTCCAGATACAAGACTACAGCTTGCTGTATTATTTTAACATTTCCAGATGAAGAGGTGAAGGGAAAGAACTGCTTCAGCTCACCCTAAACCCCTGCTGTGGAGAGATGTTTAGTTATGAGCCCTGGTATTTACAGACAGTGTTTTCATTCATACACATTCCTACTTTTCACTCCAGCATTTGAAACTGTCCTGGACCAGGAATGATCACTTGTGCTGAAGGAGGTTGTGCACTTACCAAGCTGTGCCTGCCAGCTTCCCGAATCCAGCGGATGTTGTCATGGTACTGCTGCTTCACAGATGTGCTCACTTGCAAGAGAAAGCAAGAAAAAATAGGTTTTGAAAATGAATGCAATATGCTCTAAATTTAATTTAATTCATCTGACAGCACTAGCAAGTCAAATTCTGCTGTGAGATATAAGCACGCATATATAAAGTGCTGTAGAGTCCTCTTCACAGCCAATGCAGTAATTGGTAAAATATATTTAGAGAAAGGTATGAGATGCTGTGGAGCAGGCAGTTAGAATTATAGCTGCCATTCAGGTCTTTAGCAAACTAAATTAAACCTTGAAATATGGGCTGCACATACTGCTCATTTTCAGTGACCTGGCTTGCTGCCTACTAGATGACCAGACACTTTCTGAGCCTTTGCTAAATTAGTAACTTCAGCAAATTCCATGATATTGGGTACCACAGCCCAGTGTTGCATCAGGTAGTAAATAACTCTTCTGAGCATCTATCAGAAATTCTCAGAAGCAGCTGGTAATATATACTTGAGGATAAATTACATCAGTGCTTGGGATATAGATTTATAGGATTGCAATTGCTCTGTACTGAATTGCTCGTGTGAACATTCTTATCCCAAGATAAACCTGAAGTCAGTCATGTATATCTTACAAACTGAGGTACGTTGCCTCACGTTATTATAGAGCACAAACTGCACAGAAAGACTTACGGGTTAGCAACTGTGTGTAAATCCACCCTAGACCTTGTCTAGACACGTATGTTATCTGAGAATTGAATACAACAACATCTTGAACTACTCTCCAGCTTCTCCTCTCATTTATACCTGTTCAATTCCATCTCAATCAACCAAACCAAAGAGGACAAAGAACAAGGATATCTGAAGTGAAAGACAGGCAAATATGGCACATATCAGTCAGATACATGGCAAAATCAGTATAGCCAGCTGCCTCCAAAGGCATGGCACCATCTGTATCACATGAGTAACTAAAGGGAGGAGTGTAGAGCAGCACAGAAGCATTGTCTTATTATCTTAATTCGGGGGGCTTTCACAGCTATGCCTTTCTACAAAGGGTACGTGTGAGCACAGCTGAGGTTACAGTGCTTAGGAAGTTACTCCCTATAGGCATAGTTACAGGCAAAGATTGGCCTAGAGTTACGTTGCATTACTTTGGCCAGAGAGACACAGGCAGCCACCAGGACTCAGCTGGCATGTGGCAGCATGCTAAGCCGCAGTGACTTGCTTGTGCACCGGAGCTCCAAATCATAATCATTTCTGCAGATGCCAAGACAGGATGTCTCCTACCTCTTCCCAGCTCTCACCCATTTTCAAGTCAGATTATAACGTACAAATGATTTGCATTTGCAAGTCAAACTGGAGTAACTGCACACTGCTAACTTGAAATTGGCCAGGTAACTGAGCAGAGTGTTTAGACTGCTATCTTTCCATTTAGGCAATATGACAGCATGTAAAACTAGAACTACTCTGGGTTAAACATATCGTTAAAGAGAAATACAAAATACATTTATTCTTGCAGAGGAAGGCCTTCCAAGACACAGCTTTAACAATACTAAAAGGACCTGTCAGGGCTTTATGGGTTGCTTCCAAATGAGAGCTTCTAAACACTGTGATGAGGATTAAAGTGTCAGCTCTTAGACTCATAGGGAGTGAAAGACAAAACATCTGCTTGTGCTGTCCTAGTAGGATTGTGCTGCCATTCAGAAGTTTCAAGGAAACATCTTCTAGAATGTAATGGGTAGTATTAATTTAGGTTATTACAGACATTTTGTGAGAGTTTGCAGGTGTTACTCTAGAAAACCAAATAGTGAAAGAGTTCCTTTCTACCATTTTTATAAACCATTGAGTTCCCTTCTACTATTTTTATAAAAAATCTCAGAATACTTATCATGTTTCATACCTCGCTGTGCATGGACTTATAGAAAAGATCCATCTGTTAATTCTATAGAACATTGCCAGCCGGGTAGCCAGATGAGCAAACTGCCTACACGCACATATCTCCACACAGCACGTCTGTCTCTCCCAGACAGCTCCAGTAACAGTCATTCTCTGTCCTAAACTACAGAGGTGACCACCAGTTTGGTTTTCATCTGTTAGCCCTGGGGAAGTGAAGAATCCTCCCTTTTATTTAGGCCTTCCTGCAACTGAAAATCTTACAGCTTTTTCTAGAAAGAGCTTAACTTTCTAGAAAGAGCTCCGTGTGTTTCATTTGCTAAACTGCTACCAGCCTTAAATCCCACACCCCAAAAGGAATCCCTTCCTAAACAGGCAAGGCAACCATGTTACTTCTGGAATTTCATGGTCTCCTGTGCTTTTTTAGGCTTTTAAAAATACTAGAAGACATTGTGTATGCAGCAGAGGAACAGTCCTCATTAACACAGAGATTGCTTCCCTTTTGCTCTTGGGAGATTTGTGTTGTTGTTAACAGCTCAGCCTCCAAGCTGCCAGAGAGGTAGTAAATCCAAGTTACACTTCAGTCATCACTGCTGCATCTCTTGCACAAATGCTAATTTAAAGCCGAGGTGCCTTGGCATTGGAAGCAAATAAAACTATATTGGATTTTTTCAGTTTGTGAGGTTTAAGCATAAAAATTCATCTCCCCAAAAGAGGAAGAATGCTTAACATTGAGTTCAAGGCTGGGTCAAAAGTTTAGAGTTGGAATACAATAGACTTCAGCTCTATGGAGTTTTCTTTCAACCATCACAACCAATTCTTTTATAAAATTCAAATGCAGGCTCAGATTTTAGATACATATGTATATGAGTATATCCAGACCCTGGAATTTGGTCTAAGCTCACGTCCCACAGGGACTGAACAGCAAGTGTAACAGTTAAGAACATGAACCCATGAATGGCGGTTTATTTTCTGGCCAAATTCTGTTTTCATTTCTCTTTGAAATCCTATTCCCACTGTCCTGCCAAACACAACAGCAAATCAAATAATAGCATTGCTAGCATTTCCCTTAAGCCTGTTTTCACCTGTTGGGATTTTAAAATGCCATTTTAAAATTTGAATTAAGAATATACTTGCAAGAGTTCAATTTTTATTTTTTTTATTTTTTAATGTGGAAGATAATTCTCTCCTCAGCTTTACAGTAGCATCTGTAAAAATACCCACATACTATTGTGTACACAGTAACCGATCCATTTCCGAGTCTTGCAATGCAAACCATCCAAAGGTCATGCATCAGTTCAGTCTTGAGAGGTGACTGGTGATTTCAGTACACAGCAGAAAAATAGCTACATTATTTTTTAAAGAAACTACAGCATTTTGATATGGAAGAGTGAAAGTGTAATTCCTAGATACTGGTGCAGTATACACAACCATGAATCCCAATTTGGTTTCACAAATGGCAGAATCAGCTGCCACTTTATTAACAAATAGCAAAAAAATTTCAGATCTCAAAATTGTAATCCCAAATAAATGACACTGGATGGAGCACCAAGCCCATGAAATCTGGCTTTCATGCCACTGATCTGCTTACTAACCTCTCACAAACCTCTGTAGATTCCCATATCTCATTCCCCTGAGAGACAGGGGCAAAACAATTTGATTCCTTTATGAAGCTCTTGGAGACCTAATGAAAGATACTGTTTGCCTTAAAGTTTCAAGGTGACAGAGTACAGGAAAATCTTTAACAAATGAAAATAAATGCTCTTAGCCAAAACTGAAGCAATAGTTTTGGGATCAGTAACCTCGCTACTTGGTGTTTTTACATCTTACCTACTGGTTACATTCCTTATACGAGTTTTGGGAAGAATGAGATCTCCTGCCCATATGGAACAAGCAAAAGACTGCTTTCTATGGTTTCAGCCAAAAGCCATCACATGTTGTACAACTCAGTTCATTTTTGTCTTCAAAAACACTCCCAGTGATGGGGGCATGGGATGTTGCCTTACCTCCCCGACGAATGGAGTCCTCCAGCACAGACATGGCAATTGAGTCAGTGGTAGAAAGATCCTGTGGGTCACCTGAGGTACAAACCCAGCGGAATGGCCCAAATCCCAGGGAAAATATGTCCCTGGGAAGAGAACATGTTTCATTAACAGATGGTTGAAATTCTTTCTTTATTTATCCTGGCTGCTAGCAGTGCTTTTCTTTCATTAGCTGGAGACGGAAGAATTTCAAACATTTTCAATGAACTAATCTAAACAGAAGCATCAGGAGCCATTAACTAATTAAACAGTGCTGTTTCCTGCAGCCAATGACTGGCAGTGTAAAAATACAGTCAGACAACAATTTTGATAGAAATGTTGGACAGTTCAATCAAACAGGTGCACCACCATATGAATTGCAAGTTTTGTTTTCTGTTTCATAAAATTTACTATCTATACTATCAGACTATTGTAGGTTTGAGAAAGTGCCTGAGTCCAGACTCATCTGCTGTCCACATTGTTTACACACACGAGTAAGACACTTCATTCGAGCTTCAGAGAATCTGGTGGGTGCCTTACTCTACATTCAAGCTTTTATTCACATAGTACAGGCAAGCTAAGCATGAGTCAGAAGGTGTTATAACCAAATCTTTCAGTGGATGTCCTGAGCTCAGGTCTTTCTATCTTTCTACAAGCAGTGCATGGACAGCTTGAGTGAGGAGTGCAGCTGGTGACACAGGCAGAAAAAAGTCTTATTTCAGACGTGTTTTGAGTTCGGTGCAGACATAGGCTCCAATGATTTGAAATTATGCTCTACTGCTCTGAAGAGACAAGCTCTTCAATTTAAGCTCTTAGAGCTCTTATTTGCAGATAGTTACAGTCTGAGGCAGCAACTTGGCTATTTTCTTGAGCAGAGCTGCTTAAGGAAAATTGATGCAATGAAAGAGAAAATGCAACTATTCATGTAAAGGAATAAAGAGTTTTGTTTTGGCAATGTTTTAGCTTACTGTTCAGACATCTGGTATCTGTTTTCATAAGGCTTTTTAATCCAAAAAAGGATAAAGCTTTTACACCAAGTTAACAAGACTTGTCATGCCTTTCACCGCAAATTATTAGCAAAACACCTCTGCTATCAGAGTCTTATACTAGTCACACACGTCCTTCCAGGTCTGTCACTTCTTTTCCTTGTAGCTCTACTGAAACCAATAGAAAACACAAGCATGATGCTTATAGAACATCCTCCTAAGCCACACTGGGCACTACTCCAAATTAGAAGAGAATTAGACTAACTCTGACATAACACCTGTAAGATCAAATTTCCTACTGCTGTAGCTGATTCCTTTTCATTGTATACACTACACTGCCAGATTTTCATTAAGTGAAGTCTCCAATAACCATAAAGCATTAAAGTACTTTAGTCCCAGATCTACCCAACGTACCCCATGATGTGCTGAACGTAGGAAGGATATCTGAATTCTGTTTTATTGCCTCCTTTTTTCTCAACATCAGCACCTATAAAAGAATTTTAGAGTTATCAGTAACTTGTTTTTGATGAAAAAAATATAAAATATATAACCAGACTGCACCTGGGTTCCCATGAAGGCTTTCTCTTAGCCACAGAGGAAGTAAAGGACCCCAGAGAACAGTGATAGAACAAGAGGGACTAAGGAGTTGGCATAACGCTGTGACCAACCCTATCCAACCAAAGGATAGGGATGGAAAGAGGTATTAAGAATTGCTCAGTTCCCATCTAAGAACTCCAGAATCTACTCACCAGCCCTTTGAGCTTCCAAGAGAAACGCATTGCCATAATCCCAAAAAAACATGCCCTTATCAGCTAGTCTGTTAATAGCAGCCACATGTCTCCTCAGACTGAAATAAAGAATGAAACCATTATTCCTGATTGATTAAATATCAAAAAGAATCATATCATGAGCTCACTAAAGGCAGGGAAGCAGTGTAGAGACAGATGGAACTAAAAAAATTAAAAATCAGACATAAACCCATAAGATATTTAAGATACTTTCAATCTCTGTAGCACCTGTTATCCCCAAATCTTGAACTGATGCATAGCCATTGCAATTAACAATTAACAGTGAAGGGTCATATCTTTCAGCAAAAGAAGTGCAGCCAGCCCTGAGGATTGAAAGCAACAACAGCTTTTACAAATATGCAAAGCAATTCAAAGACTTCAGAGAGAAAGCCTGCAAAGACAGAAAAAATTTAAATGGGCAGACATCACTGTTCTGGCCTCTCCCTTGGCCAGAACAGCCCAGTTTTTCCCTTTGCTTGGGTATAGTGGACTATACTCAAGGATTGTCCTGATACCTTTGTCACTTAGCAATATCCAGTTCTTATCTCAGTGTATACTCGCATGTGGAGTTGTACATGCAAAGGTGTAACCTCTTAGAACTCTAAAAAGGTAAACCAATGCCTAACAAACTAAATTGTGTCTGTTTAGGTCATATCAGACTCTTACAAATGAGTCCTTCCAATAAATTTACCTGTTACCTCTGTCTTAGTCCATATGATACAGACTTGGGAAACTCGAAAGGTTCTTGTAGGTTCCTAATTCAAAATCAAATAGACTACATAGCCATGTTCTAACTTCTACTAGAAAATAGCTCTCCAGTGAGAATATTTGAGGTGAACAATAACAGAGTCATCTTTGTTTGTATATAAATTATACTGAATTGTTCCCTTTGTAACATCCAATTCCAATTTCACTTGCAAACTTGTAAATCAGGAGTAGCTCCCTGAAATCAAAATGCTAAAGAGAACTTGGTTACAGTTGCAGAAAGCTGGGAGGACTGATTGGGAAAGTTTGTCCCCTTGTTATATCATTCTATAAAAAACTTATCACCAGCCACAGCTAGAAGTGTGGTAGGCTACATGTGTTCCTGGCTTACCAATTGCTGTTTTATGCCTTAGTCAGTGAACCTAAACCATTTATTAGTCTACATGGATTTGTATTTATTGCCTTGGATGTTTAAAATCTAATGCAATTTAGGAATATTTAGAAGTGAAATAAATCATAAGTGTTCAGGCCTCTGGATTTTGTATGCTAGTGATGACTTCTAAAATGGTGATTAGGGGACATGTCTACCAGACTTCGAGTAACAACCTGTGTAAGTCCAAGTCAGCAGGTTACTAGTGTTATTGCTACAATAGCTCTACCCCAGCTTTCTACTGAAGGGCAGTATCTTATACTTAAGTGAAACTTCTTGTGAAAAAGACAAAGATCCAATCACTTGCTGAGCAACAAAATCTAAAGGTTAGAATATGAATAATCAAAACATTTACCTCTCTTGTACCATGGTCCGGAACTTCCCTGGATTGGTGGACAGGAGCTGCTTTGCTTCCTCAAAGCCAAGCTGGACTGGATAGTATCCCCCACTGAATGGGTTATGACATGAAGTTTGGTCAGACCCCAGATCAACTAGCAGCTCTCCTGTTGTGTCCAGCTCATACACTAGCCTCTCCCTAGAGGGAAGGAAAGACAATAAATGAAATGTTTGAACAAAAGCTGTTTTCTCACATTGAAGCTCCTCTTTCAGGCGAACTCCTTCCATCACAAAAAGTTGTTTATGAAGGCATGCCATGGCAAGCTGGCTTTATTTTAGCAGTCAGGAAGTGGGAAACTAAAAGTCGCATGCAAATCTTCATCACCATATACTTCACAGAGAGGGTGGTTGCACACTGGAACAGGCTCCCCAGGGAATGGTCACTGCACCGAGCCTGTCTGAATTTAAGAAGAGATTGGACTGTGCACTTAGTCACATGGTCTGAACTTTTGGGTAGACCTGTGCAGTGTCAAGAGTTGGACTTGATGATCCTTAAGGATCCCTTCCAACTCAGGATATTCTATGATTCTATGATTCATATTTCCCTGCACAGGAATGCCAAGAGGTAAGTCAAATGCCAGTATGATGTATCAGCCATATATCGATCAGTTTCAACCCTTGGTTTATGGTGTAACAGTGAGGTTTACCATTGGATAAAGTCACAAGAGTGCTAGAATTTACATCCATTATCTGATTATGTTTATTCAATCAATGTCTCAGTATTTCTATTCCTCACTGAAGTCAAGGCTATTTGGCTAACCAAATAGCAAAAGCTTAGGAGATGGAGAAATTCCCTCTTCATCCGAGGACGAATCTTAGTGATTTCTTTCCCTAAGAAATTCACTGTTCCATAAAGAAAGATGATGCATTTCCCATGCAACTGGAAAATGGGACACAAGGATGAAAATCCCTCTTTTGACAATACAGTTTCATAAATATCTAGAGTCATGAACTCAGCACTACATTTAATGCTGCTTCTCTTCCAAGTCTGGGAATTAATCCCAGGTTGACTTAATAAGCAAGAACATTAATATATCCATATATACTACTTACCACAGATCCACCACATTCCCATGGTAACCCAAACTAAGGGCAATTTTATTCTTTCTTGCATCTCTAGAATAGAATTTAAAAAGATGGGTTGAAGAAAAAGTACCTCGTAATTCTGACTTGCAACATACAAATTGCAAACAAAACTATAAGTCTGTATGTTGTTTCCAACACTCATCTGGGCAATAGAACTTCTGACCTTTAGGCAGGTTGATTCTTCAAGTGTAACATTATTTGTAATTGCTATATGCATGTTCATGAAAAAAATGCAGACATTTAACATATGATATAAACTATATGAAGCACTGGTAACTGCAAGTTGTAAGCACTGGTAGTCACCAACAAGGAAAGTTGCTGTTTGGAAGGATAGATTCACATTCAAAAGCAGACCTAGGGTAAGAGGTGGTGTCCTTCAACCTGTCCCCCTATGCAATACTAAAATAGCACAATGCAGAAAGATGTAAAGCAAGGATTAGGGAGCAGAGATAAAGTAACTGAATGTTACAAATCATACCTCAGACGAGCAATGCAATGGTCCAGGTTGTTAGAGATTTCCATGAGCCAGCCTTGCTTGTAACGTTTCAAAAGTGCTGCTTCATCAACCTAAGACAAATAACGGAAGATCTTAAAACTCCTGTTTCTCCCATTGAGTCCCTTTTACTTTTTCTTTTTTTTTTAATAAGAAAGTAACAAGTGAGTGAAAGGAATAGCCCTACATTGGCCTTAAGATGAAGTGATTGTTCAAATACTTATTTTCCATCTCTGATTTTTACCAATCCCATTCTCTATTATTTAGGGTACAAGCTAGAAAAAAACCTGACCTATCACTTCTCAATCATATTTTACAAACCAGGAATTCTCATTAAAATTGTGCAAGAGGTAATATATTTACATCAATTTTAAGTGATCTTTAATGTTTGTTTTGATGATTTTCATTGAAAATTGTAAACTTTTTTTTTCCCCTAATAACTCAGACTTTTCTGCCAGACTGCCCAGGACAAAAGAATGGTTTGCTTTTGACCCGCACTTTTGTACTTTGACTTCTGGTTGAAAATCTCAACCAAATATGGGAAAGAAAAGAAGAAAGTATTTTCTTGTCCCAGCTGGCTGGTGCCTCTGTGAAAAATGGAATGGATCAAAACAAAACTACGCTTTCAATCCCCTCTTGCTTTGAACTTTGAAGCTCCTAACAAGCTCAATCCCAAATTGGTACTCTTCTGGAACCAGTTTGTGTGTATGCACCAGAGACAGCAGGATAAAAATATAAATGGATAGACAAACTGTGGAGGCTTTGGCACAGATTCCATATTAATGATTCAATGCACAAACTTAATGATGCATAAACATCATTAAGACATTTATAATGAGTTATCAGTGGCATAAAGCAAATGGCAAAATTAATTCAAGCAAATTTTCTGTGGTGGCAACTGATTTAGACACCCAGAGTGTTGTGTGTGCGCACAAGAATGCATAACCTGAGTATCTTACAATATTACATTAAAGCATTTTTTACTTCTCTATAATCCACCCCCATCATTTCCATTTAATTATTTCTCATTAACAAAGTATTTATATGTAAATTAAATAAGTTCTGTATTCAGGAGTTGCTTGAACACCAGGAAACCTTTTCTTCCCCAATTATTCTTAGCATGAGAAACCTTCCATCATTTCCCACATCAGTAATAAAGACTGTCCTTCCAAAACCCCAGATTATGATAATAGCAGTGTCACTACCAATAGAATTATTCAACAAAAAAGTCAGGTGCCGTGGGGGACAGCTGCTTTGGGAATTATTTAAATCAACACAGGGGAAAAGGATATTAAATGGCCCATATGAATTACAGGAATGGGGTTCATTTAAAGCTCTGCATAATACAGATCAGATCTATTTAAATCTGTTACCACATCTTATATACTTTATTTCAAACCTCTCTGACAGTCTTGGAAAGTCTTTCAGACTTGCTGGCACACTCAAAGCTAGCTTCCTTTGAACCATCTTTTCAAATATGGGATTTTTTTTTTTTAAACTCAGTTTTAAAAATTGCACAAACATGATGAGCTAATGTCACCTCCAGTGTAACCCTAGAGAGCTTAGCACAGCTCAGAGGAGATCATCTGGCCCTCCACACAGCTATTTCATAAAATTACAATCTGCTTCATGTCAAACAGAAGAGGTAAAAGACTTGCACCATTAATCCCTTCTGTCTGAGCTTCGGAAGCCCTGGCTGACAAAATGACATCTCTTGCACAATTCATCAATGCCATTTGCATAAATAGTTCCTTAAATAAATAATATGTACATATATATAGCTATCCACATGTGCTCCTGAGACTCATTTCCGACAAGGATCATCTCACAGGAGATAAAAACCAGGCGATATTCAGTCTCCTGAACAAAATCATCTGCAGCCGTGGAGATGAAAAGGACAAAGGACTGCTTTGAATAGCATTCACTGAAATCTCTCCTTTTGTATTCTAGCATTTGAAAGTTCATGATGACAGAGTCAAAGTCTGAACAAGATAATTTATTCAATAGTAATTTATTCAATAATAAATTTGATCTTCATTCAATCTACCTGATGAGATCTCAAACACACGCAAAATTCATGTTGTGCTAAAAAAATATTTTTGCACCATCATTACAAAATAGATGAAATCTTAACTTTCCATGAGTAAGACTTCTGCTAGCCAGAGTGGGACAGATTTTCTGCATGCCACGTAGGCAGTCTGAGCCATTATGTTTTGAACTTAGAGTTATTACAGGTTAGGTTGCAATATTCTTATCCTTGGGATTGCAGCAAGTGGCATGTCCGTAGCAGAGGTCTGCCAGCTAATTCTTTTTATAAGCTACTTTGGCCGAGAAAGCTAAACTCCCACTCTAGTCTGCTCTGAAGTTATTTTCTGAAAATATTCCTCTGAAGCAGTAGCAAGAGCTGATTACCTACCAATCAAAGAGCCCAATGCATTTTGGTCAGCTCTTATATCTGTTCCACTAAGAATGTTTCCCCAGTGTACTGAATTTAAAGGTTGTCAAGAAGAAAGAAATGCATGGAAGGGTTTATTACTTCTCAATAGTCACTATCGTTAAAGAAATTCACTATCATTTTCATAGAATTGCAGAGCAACATTTTCAGTTAAAAACTATTGCAATGATTTTATAGTCCAGTCTTCTGATTTGTTGGAACAGAATTTTGTGATAAAAATAATAGCTGAAAATGCAAGTATTAGGAGACCTTAACATTACTTTCTTTATATAAAAATCTATTTTACTTGAAAACTATACATATGAATACTTATCAAGACTTTGTTCAGGTTCAGCATCAGATACATGATACTTAGAGATATCTATGTATCCAGTGGATCCTACCATACACTATTCTAATCACTCAAACGTTAGCAATCTTTGAATTGCAGATCATTATTAGATTCTCTTTGTTTACGGAAGGAAACAGATGGGTTATTTTAACATATTTGGAACAGAAATATTACATCAGGATGGAAGACTCTCCAAAACAATATAAGCTGTGAGTGAGCTTCAGGGAACAGTGAAAATGATAGCACAGAACTTCTCCCCAACAGCATTTTCTCTTAGCAGAACTTACCTTTGTTGTCTACAAAGACAGACAGTCTACAACTGAAATTCAGTGCTTGTAATTACCCTCACCATTTTCATGCTGAAGCCAACTTTGAGTTTCCCAGTTTTACAAAATCTCGTTGCCTTCAGAGAATCACAACACTAAGCAAATTTGTTAGTCCCAACCTGGATGACTGAATCATACCACCATATTTAACAGGTATTTTCACTGCACCTGATAAGGGTGCCAGAGGAATTAAAGGTTAATTGTAATATAACTATCACTTTTTTAACCTGATAGACTTTTTGGCAAAAGAGGATATAGTTCCCATTGGAATTGCCTGTGGAAGTTATATCCTTTCACACATTCAGTGATGGTAGTTCAAGTGCTGAGTATGGCCTATATAACAGAATCATTCTGCAGTATTTGTGAAGCAACTATTAGAAGTAACAGTTCATATCTTTACAGTACAACCCAGTGGGCAAACAGATAGAAGGTGGAATAGCAGTGAAAAATGCTCAGCAATGGAAAGACATACAGATCTTGGAAGGCAGTATCTTTTTTTGAGTTTGTCCTGACAGAGTTGATAGAGGAGCATATGTGATCAGGAGAATGAGGCTTCTAATGCAGCGCACGAAGACAAGATGACAACAAAAGAGAATTGCTCTCACCTCTGCAATGATTCCCACACACCCAGCAATGACCGCAGCCTTTGCTTGAGCCCCACTCATCCCTCCAAGACCAGAAGTAACAAACACCTTTCCAGATAGGTCTTCTGCCTTCAAGTAGCGACGGCCTGCATTCAGCACTGTGAGCTACACACAATACAATATAGCAGTTACCAGGAGGTATTTCTTCAAGAGTCACATTATATTTTTTCATTAAATTTTAGTCACCTTTTCCCAATTAATTTCCATAGGTACCTGTAACACATGGATGTTTGCAAGCAGGACTGTTAAGGGGACTCACAGGCACTTATTTTCTACGTCCAACTGACATTCTGTTCCTTTTGGTCAATTCATACTTCATTTACTGTAGCTAGATGTGATCTCAGATTGAGACCTTGACAATGGATTCCTTCAGGTCTGCTTTCTGGTTATGTCATGGACTGAGTAGAAGGACACTGCCTTTTTAAGGAGCAGGCAATGAGAATTTCTTTGATAATTGGAACATCCTCTCACAGCAGTCCACACCACTCCAGTCACCAGCCACTGCAGGAGATACCCTCCTCCAATAGCTATCAACAAATAAATCTTTCCTTGATTTCTTACCACAGTCCCATGGACTATTCCCTGAGGTCCAATGTAGCAGTAGCTTCCTGCAGTCATCTGGCCGTACCTGGCAATATCAAGGAAAACAATAACACCAGAAGTTACTCATGCTGGAAGGAGGGCTGTGTACCTCTAAGTATATTTCTAGTATAACAAAAACAAAACAAACAAAAAGAAACATGTCAATCCCCTGTGTTTCGTTTTGATGCTAAAGGTCTGGCATTATTAAAATCCTAACCTAACTGACCTTCCTCATCTTCAATGCACAAACAGGCTTTCAGAAGATCATTTAACTCTTTAAATTATTGAGCTCCAAAATGTGTAGAACAAAAGAATTGAGTGTAATTTTTATTTTAGCTTTTAGCATAGCAACTAAGACTCAAAAAGGCTCCTTTTCCCATTTGAGCATATACCACTGGATTTTAGTGGCACTCCCACTTTTAAGTCACAAATATTGTGACTTAAATATTGTAACCCCAAAATCATTGTCCACATTCCTACAAAATCCCTGAGAAAGCAGCAGTGAACATACTCTGCTCATGCCTTTTCCTTTCCTCCAGCATTCTGGTCTATATACATCCAGCTCTCTCATAGCTTAAGTTGGTTCTCTCCATCATACACAGCAGAATAACAATCCTGTGCTCATTGGCTAAATGAGCATTTAAAAAAACGGATAAACAAACATGTCAAATATATTAAAAAATATATAGCTTTCTACTTCAAAGCTCTTTCTTAGTGTAGAATTAAAGGAAAACTTCATAACTTATGTGTTTTGGTTTTTTTTTTGGTTGGTTGGTTGGTTAGCTGTTTTTTTTGAAGATTGCAAAACAACCACTGCAAAGTGTAACTAGCCCAGCCTATAATTAGGTTATGATTATGGCTTCAGGGTGTAATTCAGCCAAGTCTTACACATAATCCTAATACTAATTCCTAGCAGACCTCAATGACAACCTTATATATGTGGTTGAACATAACTCAAACTCCTAAGCAGTTGCACTTAAGTGTGCATTAATGCTTTGCAACATCAGGAGTTTATGCGGTGCAGTTGAAATCCACCTGTATTGGAAATTTTAACCAGCCACTGCTCAATGCCTGAGTTAAATTTTAAATAAATATTTTGTATATTTTAACAGTAAGGTATCTTCTTACATTGTTACTCCCAAAGCAAACATCTTCTCATATTCATCTCTGGTAGAATAGTTGGGAATAACCTAAGAAAACAATCAAAAATAAAATATAGATAAGCAAATTAAAGATTTAAGCAGATCTTTTTCACCACCTGAATTTTCCATGGTCAAACACACACAAAAAAAACAATGAAAAACAGAAGTAGTAATTCAGGGGGTTTTATTCCATGCATTCTAGTATTATACAATATATATCTGATCTTTCCATCAGCATGGCTGTCATACAAATCTTAAAGAAAGCAGTTGTCTAGCCACAAAACCAGCCTACAGAGAGATGAATATTGAATAGCTCAAGAGGACAGGCAATGGACCAGCAGGCACATTTGTCTAGCTTGCCTTCTGAGCAAAGCAGTTCAGGTATATAAGCATTTGATATAGGTCATCTGTTTGACTGTCGAGGACTTTCATGCCTTCCAAAATGAGTCTAGATTAATTGTTTTGGTCAAGAATATGTATAGCCCAGGCTGAGTCAGAACATAAATCCTCTGACAAGGCAAGAATTGTTCTCTCCATCACTGCAGATCAGCCTGCTTGAGGTGAGAGTGACTGTACTGGAACAAATACTGCAGAATTTAGACCCCAGATTCTTTGGTGTGCTATTATAAGTTCAGGTAGCACGAACAATGTTTAATTCAGCAGAGACTTGAAAAATAAACCAAAGAGGAGGAAAAAAAAAAGAAAGAAAAAAAAAAACCAAGATGTTAACACCTACCATGCCATTAGTAATGATTAACCGAGGAGCATATCGATGGCTGGGAAAGAGTCCCAGAGGATGTCCACTGTACATTACTAATGTTTGCTCTTCAGTCATCTCTGACAAATACTGCATTACCAACCAGAACTGAAAGGGAAAGCAAGGAAAGTGACGGAATACGTTTCTATCTTGCATTATGTTTCTTCATGAAGCTGCTAAACAGAGTATGATGGCAGCCACAGAGATAATGAGGTGTATTCACATACAGAGTAACAGCCAGACATTTCAACACATTCTTGCTTTTAATAAAGTCCATTAAGAGACATCGCTCAGCAGGAAACATAAATCAACTGGCAAAGGTCTGAATAAGTTCCAGAGTAATTTCTGCAGTACAAACCCCAGAAATGCTTTGCTAGCTTCTCAGTGCATCATTTTTAAAGCCATTCTAATTTTATCTTGAGGTTAACCATTTGGACCTAGCAATTTTCTGGCAATCTTTCCAAAAGCAAGCTGTGAAATTTTCACTTAAAAAGAGATCAAAACACCCATGTATAATGTTGAGCCTAACCTGATATGGTTAAATTCAACATCTTCTGGTTCTTGTCATCTCTTCAAGAGATCATCATTACAGCATGCACTTAATGAAATAATTTCTCAAAAAATAGCTTTCACTATGGACAATGAAGAGAGTCCTAGAGACACCCTGGAATCTAAATAAATGCATCTCAAATCTAACTGCATAATTCAATAGTTACTCTTGATCTGTGCCAAGAAGTAGACTTGATCATCTAAACTGTTATAAACTTAACTCCCATCCATTATTATCTACTACAAAGCCCATTATATTCCATGGGAATTTTAGTATGAGCAACCAGGTCCAAGAAGAGCAGCTGTTAACTGCTGTTAACACATTTAACTTTTGTGGCTGCCTTTCACCCATATTAAAGGGGTACAGATTTGAAGCTAGTCCCTTCTAACCCAGATAATTTCTAAGATGGGTTTAGCAAGTTAAGTTGGGCAGGAAAGAATTACTTCTGTTTGTTTGTTTTTGTTTGTTTGCTTTTCATTTAGTATGTTTTATGAAAAGTTTTGAACTTGTTCCAGTACAGAACAGGTCACTAGCTGTGAAAACTTAAGCAGGCTGGGAAAAGCTTGTAACAAAACCAGAAGCTGTGAGATACTTAGTTGTATCTTTCAGTCAATGCAGAAATATCTAATAAGTAGGAAGGAAAAGGAAGATGGAGTCTGTATTTCCTAGCCTGCAGGCTTGCAGACAAGTTAGTAAGGGGAAATTTACCTCTGGTCATATTTTTCTCTTTAAAAGTCATTCAGTAGAAATGTGTGTGGATGACCAGCCTGTGTGGTTGATATAAACCAAACTCAGCCTTTTCCCTAGGAATTTTGCAATGACAGATTTTCAGAAAGGATGTTGTTTTCAAGCCTCAGAGAACAAAATGTTCCATCATAACGGAATCATTCATGTGATTTGCTACTCTAAGCAAGCAAAAACAGAAAGGTTTTGTTTGCTGTGCTGTGAAACAACTGCAGGTCAGAGCTCTAACTTGGATGAGAACAGGAGAAGAGAAAATAATTCTGACTTTGGCAGAGCTTCTACTTCACCTTGCAGCCCAACATCCGTCTTAGTGATGTCAGCCCAAGCAATGCCACTATATGAACTGCTGGCACTGGACATGCAAGAAATGCTGTAAAACTTTCATGCAATGTGTTAACTGGCTTAACTGACATTTATGAATTAACACAGTATAAAGAAATGGTGTGCATTGCCATAGTACCTTTACTGTAAAAAGGTACAGGTGATTATTCAACCTCAACAGCTACCTAAGACTTCCATTAAACTCCCATTTACCAGATCTGGAAACTGAACCATGATTTTTTCCTTAGCTACAGATAAAAATCACAAAGAAGAAAGACCACGTCTCTCAGTCCTGTGCTACAGTGAGAAATCCATTTCTTTTTTCCTTAATGAGGAATTTCATTTACAGATTAGTTTTGCTTGATATTTTTAATAAGCATAAAGCGAGATTCAGATAAAGCCACAAATTTCTTCTCAAAATGTTTTTCACATGCATTTTGCAGTACTTGGATTAAAGCAAGTGTATTTAGTGCCACTTTTGGATGGGCAATTATACCTTAAACATCTCAGTTCAGATTTCAGACAGGACTTTACCCACCTGCCATTAGTATCAGAAGTTCAGAGTTAGGCCTGAAAATAAAGTGCACTATGACCAGCTAGCATGGAAATATTTTCAGCTCATCTGATTTTATTGGAAAAAGACTAAGGACTACACTTTCTTAAAGCCATATTGTTTTCTTTTTTTTTTTTATTCCACTATATATTGTGCAAAAGTACTACAGAGAAGCAAGCAGAAGTTATACGTTGTTTCGTAGAATTTATTCTGCCTCTAAAACTATTTGTGCAAAGTACAGGCACATACACATGCATTAGAGAAAGACAAAGAACTTTTACATCATCTTACACAGCTTGATATGTTTAAAATACAGTATTTTTATTGGGCTGTCTGTGCTCTCCTTACTAAATAAAGCTCTCCCCATCTATGCAGTTCATAACTGGGCATTCCTCTATCCAGACAGGATGTTTTGGAGTATTGTGAGACAATGACTGCAAGAATTATCACAAACTCTGCCTAAGCAGAATGTGCCTGGGGGACAGTGAAATGGGTTTAATGAAAGAAGCTGCAAAGCCAGCAGTGTCCTACCTGTGCCCAGTTGCTGAAGACCTGACCATTTCCTCCATAAGTGACAAGCTCCTGGGGAAACTGAGAAAGACAATTTAACAATAATAACACAATTATTTTTCTGAAATGTTTCACAGTATCTTCAAGTTATTAAAAAAAAATCTCAGTAATAAATTCTTTCTATAGCTTATATAGCTTATTGCACCAACACTATTAAAAACAGGGAATACCATCCAAAAAGTTAACGGTTAAGCAATAAATAAATAAATACTAAAAGTCTTTTTCAAAGTAAGCATCTATTATTGTTACAATGGCATTTTGGTGATACAGAATGTTTGAAAGTAATTCCTGGATTGTAGGTTCTTTAACAAACATACACACCAGTAAAATCCCTTAAACTGAGCCTGAGTGAGCTTACAGTTTGGTTGCCACTAGCTTTTATAGCTGGAAGAGTCTAAGACCAGCAGGACATTGCTGAACGGTCTCTTCCCTGCCATTTGTAGAACAGATGCATTACACTGGACAGTGCTTGTAAGAAGGGACTTAGTCCAGCAACCCTCTAGTAAATCTGTCCTTGGGGCTAAATTTGCCAAGCTACAGGAAATATCAACACTAATTTTTCAACATATGTTGTAGAAGCAGTGCACTGAGAGCTGAACTCTGCCTATCTCACAGATAGCAACCAAGCTCCTGAAAATAGTGGGAGCTGGAGTGAGCCTTGTTAGTGCTGCAGTAGTCCTCATAGGTCTAAATTAGGACCCCCTACGGAGAATGAAGAACTATGCACAGCACAAACCAAAAGAACTTATCAAATAAGAACCACATTCCAAGGTATCAAAACCACCACAGAAAAAAGGTAGAATCGCCTTTACTCCCTCACAAGGTTAGCCTCACAGAAATGATCATTCTAGCACATCACTCTGCAAAGAGACTGCCTTAGCAATACTAAAATTGACCCGCCTAGCTAACAGAGCAGCCAGCACCACAGAATCAGCAAAAGGCTTCTGTACAGCTGAAATCCTATTCAATCCACTGAAGGTGCATCATTTGCACAAGGATTAATTCTACCTATACGCTTACATTCTCCAATTTCTATGTTAGCAGGAAGGAACATAGAGATTTGTTTCTGTTCTATGAATCCAGCTTCCTTTATTATCACTGTAGCTTACCTGAGCCACTGAGGGATCCAGATTATTCATGATCATCAGCATAATGGCAGCAGCTGACTTGGTTTTGCAGGGATAGTCTTTGATGGGGTACGCTCTGAAATTGTATTCATCAGACGTCAGGAAACAAACAAGGGACTCATAATGGTAGCAACAGCAACAAAACACACCACAGAAACATCCCTGCATGCCAACACATCCCTTTGAATTACAGGTTTTTACTCAAGAGGGATTAAGAAAATAAAGGAAAAAGTGCAGAACTGATATGACATGTATCTTAACAAGCAAACCAGGTTTCGACTTTTAATCAGAAATAAGCAAAGAAAAAAACAAAAACACGAAAGATCACATTCAGCTTATCATTTGCTGAATTCATTAATCACAACTGTTTATTAACATGGTAGCCACAAGCACTCATTGCTTTTCTACATGAATTTTTTGGTTCGCACTTGCACTGGCCTCTATAACCCAATTGCCAGGCCAAGCAGCTCAGTCCTGCAAAATACCAAGGGAAAGAGCAATGGGAAAAATTGTCTTCAGGCTCATTAGCCCTTGTTATTTAAGATCCTATCTAAGAAAAAATGCCCAGCTTGAAATTTGGTTCCAAAGAAACTCTCAAATACCAAACTAGTTAGGAGAAATATGCAGTCCAGCTCTGCAATACCTTTCAGACTCTCTTCCAGTTGTTGTCCCCATAGCTGATTTCTGCAAGAGAGCTGACCCCAGTCTAGTGTGGACAGCACAGAAATATGTATGTCTGTGGAAATTAGAGTGCTTTCTAGTTGCTTGCTTTATTCAGATTTATGTACAGACATTAACCAGACCCCTGCTGGATGCAAAAAGGAATCAATCAGTCTAAAAAAAGCAGCTAGCCCCTGGCAGCCCTCTCCAAAACTGTTCTGCTTCACAAACATTAGCCCCATCAGCCCTATAATGAAGCGATGCTCCAAGATCAACAGGCACAGCATATTACAAACCAGGGTCAGATACAGGTTCCAAGGAAGGAGAAGAGAGAGAAAAAATAAAGTACTGCCTCTCTTTTAAGCCCAGGAAGACTGGAAAATAACCAGCCTCTCACATCAGGTCCCAGTGCCATCCACAGTGCTATCACTATTTAGAGTCAGTTCCACAGGTGAAAGCTGGTAAGCAAATGGTAGCCAAATGCAGTGTGAACCCCTTAGTTCTTACCTCATCTCAATATCTGGAAAGAATCTATACATGTAGATATGGCCATACAGCCTGAGTTCTTCAGCAAATTCCAGCACCAACTTCTTCTGTATTTCAGGTGGGAAATAGCGTAAGGCATTACGCAAAGCAAGCTGCCAGGAAGAGAAAAAAAAAAAAATTAGGTAAAAGAGAAATGGAGGTAAGTGGGTGGCCCTGAATTTTAGTCAGCTGGAAAACTGCCCCAGCTATTACAGAGACGATTTAATTTAAAAGGCCAACCTCACACCAGGGGAGCTTCCATTCCTGCTTTCCCATTGAAATGTTTCCATCTGCATCTTTCCTTGTAAACTCATTTGCTGCATGTATATAACGTTCCCCTTCCCTCCCACCCCCCAAATCTTTATGGAAAGACCTCAAGGATTCGTTAAGTAGTGTTCAATCCTACAGACACTTGACACAGATGAATCCCTTCCTACAGTGCTAGGGGGCACTGAACTACCAAGAAAAACATTGTCCAGAAATCCTTATCCCGAGATCCTGAACTCTTAGAGGCACTGAAGACCTTACTATACTTTCTGTTAAGAAAGAAACCTTAGCCTTGAATTATGAGACAACAGATGAAGATATTCTTGGCCTAAGTTTTATTAAAGATTCACTACATTTAACATACTAATGTATTACATAGAGTGGTGGTTTACATTATTTTATTGAAGCTACACGTATCACTTTTAAATTAGCTAAAGTGATTAGTAGGCATTGAATTAAATTCTGCAGATGATACTAAGTGGCTTATAGTCCCTATGGCCTTCAAAGACATCACCCATAGTTTGCAAAGTACAGTGTGTCTTTTTGGATGAAAGAAATCATAAATAAATCACCATCTTTAGTAACAGTCTGTTAGTTAAGTCATGTCTCTGTATTCCATGTCCCACTTGATTAAAACCATAATGAGAATAAAGACTTTGTAATCTTTAAAAAGCCAATTTCATGCAAAGATGCCAGAAGCTCTTATAAGTTCCCCAATAAATGAAAACACTATCCAAATGAATCTTAACTGAAGAGATTCACAACTCACATGGAATTTCACATCTTCATTAGGATGATTTTTAAGGCGCTTTGGAAAGGATAGGAAGGGATCAAATTTGGTTTCTGGTCTGATAACAGCCTAAAAACAACCTGGAAAGACCAGTTTTGGAGACTGCTGACTATAGCAAGGATAATTCATGTTTGTAAAACCTGCTGTTGGAAGATCAGAGAGTTATGGAAGTATTTACTGGAAGAAGTGAAGGGGTTGCATATAGTACAGAAAATAAGTATCTAGAACAAAGGCGCATAGAGCCATGCAGCCCGGGTATCTTTACTCTCCTTATTCTTCTGGGAGGATAAAACATATTGGTATAAAATCTGAAAAGCTCTACAAAGCCACCTTCTCAGCTTATTGACAAACCTCCTCATTTAACATGACTATACTGTGTCTCTTTTGGCTAGAGTTCTCCAGTCCCTTCATCATCTGAGCATGTTGGTCTCACATACCTTAGAGCAGATGAAGTACAATGCCCCAAATCTACAAACACCTCATACTAGGATGTTCTTCGTGGTGTACTTGCTTCTGAACAGGAACATGGGTCAGACCTTTTCAGACCAGGGATGCTAAGCCTGCAAATGGGCTTTGCTATTCTACACACAGAATGACAAGGGGTAAAATGCACTTAAGACAAGCGAACAGAAATTCCACCTCCATATACTGCCTTATTCTCCAGCTAGATAAGCGGTCATTTTTCAAAAACAGGCTATTAAACACAAAAATCCCAGCTATATACACACTGTGACAAAATACAAGGGGACTTCTGAAGTCTCAGAGGCAAGCAGCCATCACAGGGGGCTCTACCTCTAAGAAATTCCTACAGTGAGAATGAAGCAAGCTGTACCCCTTGCAACAACAAAATCTAGTTCCACAAGAGGAAAAGAGTGATATGGTGAGGAAAAAAAGTTGCTGCATTTTTCTGCTACAGAAAACTATTAGAATGAAAGTGTTTTACTTGCATCCTCGCAAGGATCACCTAGCCTTTGATCAATATACTATTTTTATTATAATGAAACTGATGAGAAAATATTTTTATTTGCTCTAAAAATACAAGAAGGCGAAATCTGTTTGGATTTTCAAATAAATTCACTTAGAGTGAGCCCCCGCACTGTTAGTGTTCCATGCTAGCAGAAGCCTGAATTTTGATGATGCAAACATTAATGAAACATGAACTTCAATGTTACATGAAGGGTGAGAAGGGCTCCTGGGTTGCACAGACAATAGAGAGCTGATCTTATAAAAGAAGACTAAGACTGTGGCTTGTTTAGCTTAACAGAACAAAGCTGACATTTGATTGCTGTCTTACTGCTGGATAAGTGTCAAAGCAGGAAGGAGCTTCAGGGAAATGCTGGGAGTAGAATAAATAGCTGTAAATTAGCCATGAAGAAATGTAGTCTTGAAATTCAAGGAATTTAAATAACGAATTCTGAAGCAGTCTCTCAATAGCAGTGCTGTGTCCCTTAAAATTGCTTAGATGGAGCCTGACTGCTTCATGAAAAAGCAATTGCCATGTGCATCAGGGAGAATTTTGCATATTCATGATTGAGTCATAAACTGGATAACCTGAGAAAGGCATTTAAGGAACAAATTTAAATAGACTGATCATCAGGCTTTCATGGTAAGTCAATACAAGGCCATTATTCCTTAAGTTTTATTAAAACACCATACAAAATACTATTTTGACCTCCACGATTAATTTTACCCATAACTGACACATTCCACTCTGATATTAGACAGCACGCATTTGATATTTAGGTGTTCCTGTTCATAGCTTCCTCAGACAGCAGCATGAGCTGCATTTGTCTGCTCAGTACCTCTGAAAAATCATGTTTGAGATCACTTATATCTCAAAAAAAGAAAAAAAAAAAATCACATTTCTGAAACTGATACGTTGCTTTTAAAAACCTACTGTGAATTTTTGAGCTACTGATTCAGTTCAGCTCAGTTCAATGCAAACATCTGATGGAGAATCTTGTTCTTAGATCTATCAGGCAGAGCTAACATTTAATTTTTGTTCATAAGCTCTAATCACTAGTAGAGGGTCCTTTTTTGGTTCTCGTTGGCATTTACACAGCAAACCAAGATCTTGCTGCCATTTAGTCAAGATTCAGTGACTCTCAATGCCAACTAAGTACTCCAAAGAAACCATGAAACCCTGCTCCAGTTTATCAACTGTTTTGCTGTGGGATTCTCTTGAGAAACCAAGTATACCAGCTTGTTAGTCCATTGGTGTTTGTTAGAGAGCCACTGCCTCTCTGAGAATGGCGTTTGGTCTCCTTTTCTAACACCTTGATCAAGACTTCCAATTTAGGGATCATGAGACAAAAACAAACAAACAAAACCACTAAGATTTGCATTCACCCTATTTACTGGGGCAAAATATTTTGCCCCATTTACTGGGGCAAAAGGGAAGCATGAAGAGAAGAAATGAGAACCATTCTTAGTTCTGCTTTTTCCCCACTATAGATGTTGCTTGTCATCCAATCTTCTGTGTGATGACATCCAGGTCCAAAATCATTTGTGGTATTATTATCTAAACAAATGTAAAAGCAAAATTGTGATTGCATGTATTCTCACTCATAGGCCGTAGCTCAGATCAGCTGTTAGGAAGTAAACACAGCAATTTCTGAGTAGCAGTTGCTATAAATGTCCCATTGGCTGGGAAAGTATGCCAAGATCTCTATCATTCAGACTTTCCAAAACAGAAGACACCAGGCTAGCCTTCCCAATCCATATACAAACATCCAAAAGCAGCCTAATTTCTAGGCATGTAAAGCAGCCATTAAGGACAAATGTCTTGCTTCTTCTCCAGAAAATTCAACAGGAACTTCATGTACCATGCATCTTCACAGGCTCTGGTTTTCAGCTTTTTATACCAGGACATCACAAAGCAGCAAAGACCAGCTGCTCCCTGAGGGACAGGGAGACAAGAAGAATAAAACAGCCAACAGGACAGGCACCTCACCCACCATGGCCCAGGCCCATAATGCCCAAGGGAGGTAAGCAGGGCAGCCCAGGGCTGGCAGCCTCAGTTCAAACAGGAGCCTAGGTCATCACGCAAGGCCATGGTGATGTGCAGATCTCAGTGAAATCAGGAATGCAGGTCTGGACCAGATGATGGTTACCAGAAGGAGATACAGCTCAGAGATTACCAGAAGGTCCATAACGACAAGGCAGGCTCAAGGTCAAGTCATCCTACAGGTTGGGGTCAGATCAGTTAGGCCCCTGGCTAGGCACAAGCAGACCCCCATGACAAAGCTCTAACATAAGCCAAATCTCCAATGTAAGTAAAATTAAGCTTAAATGGAGCCCCTAAGCCTATGGGCAGAGGGTGTGTGTGTGTGTGTAGCTCTCAGGTGAGGCTGGTTAGAGCCATCACAGCTTGTTAATTCCCTCAGGGCCCTGGGACAGAAACACAGGTGATAATACAGTCAGCTAGCAGGTGATCATGCTGGGGAGAAAGAAACTATAATGTGATTTGGCTCAAAGTTAGGGGAACTGCTACATGGATGAAGACGTGACGTTTTTTCTGATTCTAAGCAACACCAAAAAGTGTACATTCTTCCTAAATGGCACTGACTTTACCGGAACGTCAATGAGTATCAAGCATGCAATGCCCTTGTTTTGCAAAGGACACAGCACACGTAAGATTTTAGGGATATTTGCTTTGCAGCATATTTACACAAAGATACAGATGCTGAGAAACAGAAAACCAGAGTTTCCTCTTGCGGAGGGAAAGGGAGAGGATGTGGATGTTACAGGCCTCAGGCAAAGAATGCAGAAGGAAGAGGACTCAGGAAACATATAAACAAAAATCAGTTCTGAGAAATAGCTTGATTTATCCAAAGAGATTAAAGTTGATATGATAGGAGGAATTGTATACCTTTCAGCAAGCCCCAAAACACGCAGAACTTTATAAATCTTGCCTATAGGATTTCTGTTACAGTCACAAAAGGAAGCCTCAAAAAATTAAAAAAAAAAAAAGGCACTACTACAGATCATTATTGTAAAAAAGGGTAACGTCAGAATGAAAGCATATGAAGAGAGGGACAGATCCTTACTGTGAGAAAATTAGCAGAGCATTATTAACTTCACTACTGTCAAAGCTTCCCATGAACACTTCAATTAGAAAATGAACGCGGTGTCATACATAATGACAAGCCTCACAATATGCTCAGCATTACACACTGCCAACAAAATCTGGAAGCCTGTCTCAAGACTTACAAACCACCTTGTAGACAGACAACCTTTTCCCAGCATGAAACACCTCTTAAAAAAGAGATTCGGCCTTTCAGATATAAAATAAATACCATCTGAGCCCCTAACCCTGTTAAGAGTTTAAGGTGGAGGATTAAGAGTAAAATAAATCAGAAAGGAAGCTTTTAAATTTTTAACAGGCTAATAAAAGACCCAGTCAGCATGACCTTTTATCACATGTGGTAGATAAGAAGGAGAGATGAGGGTAGGTTGTTAGACAGTAGACGGACCAAAAAAGCAGTCTACTGCTGTCTCCTTCAACACTTAAAGGAGGCAGGAAACAATTCCAGTTTCTGTATAGGGAATGAGGGCTTTGTCATTACCAATCTTTCCCCAGGTAAAGAGTAAGGTTTGGCATTGTTTTGTGAGATACCATCTTCTCCCCTGCGATGTTGACTTCTCATGATAAAGCAAACTTCTCCTGGGGAAAGGAATAAAGTGGAGATGGCTGGCAATGTTCTACCATGCAGTGAAGCTCACCCCCTGCTCCTTTATCTCCACAACTATCACCACAGCTTCCTTCTGCACACTCAGTAGCCACACTTCCATCTGTCTGAGCTGTCCCAGGCACAGACTGGATGCCTCTGTCATGAATGCTCCTGACATTGAAGTAAATCCTTTTTGGATATCTCACAGTTGTTCTTCCTCCTACCCCTTGGCTGGGCTCTTCTCTGCTTGTGGAAGTGGACTTTGAAAGAATTTCTGTGCTGATGCCAGTGAGGAACTCCCACAAGGGCAAGGAAGTTGCGTGTAAGTCACTAGTGGGGAATGAACTTCTGCATTCTGACCAGAAAGTCACATTGTAAGTTACATGTGATGAAGCAAAAGGCTTTCTAACTAAGAAACCAACCTTATCCCATCATGCACAAAATTCCTAAGGATGTCCACCCCTTGGACATTAGTTTCTGCTGCTGTTTTTTTTTTTTTTTTTTAAATATATATATTATTGTCTCTAGCATGAAATAATTCAACGATTACTTTAGAGTGTGCACAGACTATTTAAACAAAAAGAGGCAGAAAAAGAATTACACAACTAAAGACAAATAATTAACTCAATACCTTACAAGCTTGTCTAAATGCCAGGATGCTTCAGACTGCTGGTTAAACTAACTTATCTTTGGATCCCTATGCAAACATACAGATACATAGTTTGAACCATGATGGTGATTTGCCACATTTCATGTTAACTGTATTTGAGGGGATAGTATTCACTCCCATACATATGCAGCGTTTTTGCAGCAGCATTCATAATTTCATCTCCAAGGAACAATGCTGGATTGACAGCATTGAAGTCTAAGGCCTCTTGTTTAGCTATTTAAAGTCATGCACAATGCTGCTGTGTGTCAGATTTCCCTCATATCAATCAACTTAGGGAGAAAGAGAAAGCAAGCACGCAGAAAAGTTTCCAGTATTTTGTCTCACTATTCATTACTGAAAATATAACACCAAAGAAATATATCTGCTGGCACTCAGAAGAGCATTTGAGGCGATCAGGTCTGCTGCTCCTAGCTGCATTTATCTGAAAGGAAGAGAAGTGAGGCCTTGTGAAACCCCACGTTACCTTTTTCTCCTGAGCAGTGAGATTAGGGGTTCTCACAGGTGCATGGGGTATTCCTTTCCTCCGACCTCTGTTTTCAGGCAAAGGGTTTAGAGGAAGGCCACGACAGATTTCCTTCAGGCTGGTCATAGTTGCTGAAGAAATACAAGGAGGAAAGGCAAGGCAAACTGGAGAGATGCAAGGAATGGAGACAAAGGGTGCAGGCAAACAAGATGCTAAGCGACTGAGATGTGCCACCACTCTGGAGCTATCTCCAAGAGGACAGCCCGTCCTCTGGCTTTTGCAATCAGGCCTGTGGAGCACAGAGGGCAGGCAGCACAGGTGACACACCTACCCCCTCTGTGCCATGCCATTGGCTCTCCTGTCCTCCTCCAAAATGAATGATTCACAGTTTTGCTGTTTGTTCTCTGGGTGCTTTGTCAGGTGGTGCTGTGCTAAGCCACCAGAGCAGTCACTTTCCACATTATCCGGCTCCCCCAGCACCCCAGCGAAAGTCATGGTCTGGAGCATGAACCTTGCTTGAGACTTCAAGGATTGTGCTTTTACACTTCTATAGTTTAGGAGCTGACTAAAGCAAATCATCATTGTTCACGTTATTGTTCATATACACTGTGCAGCTAAGATGGGCATTCTCTGCCTGACACCTCTGGGTATGGGCTGTTCCTCAAATATCATCAGGCTGTCCTCTGGACAGCAGCAGCTGTCAATGATAACAGCAAAATGTCTCCCTTAGATTTTAGCTCCTCCTAGCTCACAGGCATGCCTGGGTTTTAGTAGTACTAAACTGAAAACATTAGCTCTGTTACTGCTTTCCTCAAGACAGGCAATAATAGGGAAGAGAAATTAAGGCTTTCAGTTTTAAGTCACTTTTATAACCCACAGTCAACAACAACTGGAAAGTCTTATGTTGTTGCCATCCAGACATCACTAGTAAATGAATATGCTTAACTTTGACTTTCCACTTAAAGAGCAACATGAACTTTGCTCCCCATTTTGAGTTGTTGTTTAAATTATACAGGAGCTTCTTGACCTTTATTACATCCATGGAACTACAACTCACGGCCAGGGAATTTTCTCAAGTGCCACAGTTTAAGCCTGATGAAATTATCTGGAAGAAACTTTTCAGTTTGTTACAAGCCTAATACCTAAGAATAAAAAAAAATGCCATGTTATTTTTTTCACAAAGGCAGCAATCAACAAGCAATGGCGACAAAGCACAATTATTAAATGACAGCATCTCATTAATGTCACACTGCCTGTAGCTCTAGGACATACTGCATTTCCCCAGCTCCCACTGAAGATGCTTGAGTTGAAAGAACTCAGAACGTCCCAGGGGAGCTGAGCGCACCGCTCTCAAACCCTCAGAAGGATGCTGTCACTTATGACAGAGAATTATGTTTTGTAATTATACAGTATTTTAACTGTTTTCAAACAAAAGGCAAAGACAAAAAGGAGAGGAAAAATTTCCTACATATTTTAAAATTTTCTATTTGGTTTTCTTATTAAAAATGCACAACAGGAAAAAAAAAAAAAAAAAAAAAAAAAAAAAAAAAAGATAAGGGTAAAGTTAGAAAATTCTACTCCAATACATAGCTAAATAACTCTGCCTTACATAAACATTCCCACCCCAAAGGGAAATAAATCTTTCCTTATTCTTCTTTGTATGACCCACATTCTGCAAATCCCTCTAAGGTCTGATCCTGTGCACACATGGGCACGAGAATAACCTCGTCTACTCCCATCGAGCCTGCTTCCCTCCGTGACATCAAACAGAAGGCAGTGGTATGACACTGCCTTAACAGCTGAAGAAAGAGAGAATAGAGCTGGGGGGTGGGTTGGGGAGGGGTTGTCACCCCCTGAATTAAAATTATTTCTAGGGCTGTGCGCTTTTACCCCTGATGCTGGAGCCTCGCTGGGTGTTGGAGTTACCACCTCCAAAAAAATCTGGGGCTGGCAAATCCGACTTCAAGGTCATGCCCTGCGTGAAGGCAGATGTGTCAGGGGTGGTGCAGCCCCCCAGGGAAGCCCTAAGTCCCCTCGCTGGCTTTGCCCAGCTCGTGTCTGCCCTTGCCTATGGAAATAAACCCGATGCTCGCTCACAATCGCCCACCTTGCGAGGGACAAATCCCCCCCCCCCAAACCTTCCCCGCTGCCCCAAAGCCTTGGGGCTGCCTTTGGGGTGCCCTGGGGGGGCGGTGTGGGGCTGCTGTCATGTGCCGGCAGGGCTGGCAGAGGGTGCTGCAGGGACAAGGGACAGCAGGCAGCAGCCGGGGCGGGCTGATGGGGCTGCCCCCGCCCCGCACAGCCACGGCCGGACAGACGGACGGGCAGGCAGACAGACGGACAGGCAAGCAGGCAGGCAGGCTCCTGGAGGAGAAGATGCTGCCGGGGAACAACGCCTGCATCTGAGCGCACCGAGGACCACCCCAGCCGACGCGAGGAGGTGCGGAACCGACCCATCCTCCTCCTCCTCCTCCACCCTATAAAAAAAAAAAAAAAAAAAAAAAAAAAAAAAGCACATATAAAGAGAACAGGAAGAAGATCACATGTTATAATAATCCCCTCTGCAGCCAGACAGGACCAGAGAGGCAAACTGCCCGCTCGGGACCGAGGGATGTGCTAGAGGCAGAGAGGAAACTTGAGGCTAACTCCCAGCCCCGGAGGGAGGGAACCCCAACCCTGAGCCTCGCTGCAGCCGGAGGGAGGCAGGAGCTGCCCTCCAGCCCCTCTTTTTTTCCCCGCACCTGAGCGCAGCCCCTGCCCCAGGCTCCCTCCGGCAGCCCCGACCCCGAGCAGGGGTCCCCCGGCCCCGGCGAGCCCCTCCCTGCTTTGGGGTTTTGCTCTTAGCCCCTGGCGCTCGCTGTGGGATCAGTGGCTTCCGTGCCAGCGGAGGGAGGAGGGCTAGGAAATAAAATCGAGCAACCCAAACTGAAAAGAGAGAAGAGCCAGGAAAGCACTTGCTTCTCATCAGCTCTCAGCGAGAAAAGCCAACTCTCTTCTTATGACCCTCTGCTGCAGGGAGCAAAGGGGAAGCGGGTTTTGGGGCAGAGCTCCCACCCAAGCGGGGTTCCCGCAGCCAGGACCCCATCGCCACCCCGGCTAGCTGCGGGGGCTGCCAGGGGGGGTAGGGAAGGTTGCCAGGGGGAAGGAAGCCAAAACGAAGCTCCAGCAAAAGCAAGGAGCAGCAAGGAAAGTTTCGGACTAGCATCCGCAAGAGAGCGGAGCGAGGAGAGCTCCCCCGCGTCGCACCAGCCCTCGATGGTGCATTCAGGGGGCTGCAGCAGGGATGTGAACATCCCCGGCCCGCTGCATGGAGAGGGGTGAAGACACGGGAAACCCTTGTTATTTATTTATTTATTGGAAGCGATGTACGGGTGACACCCAGAAGGCATCTGAGCCCTGAAAGAGGAGAAAAAAAAAAAAAAAAAAAAAAAAAAAAAGCCTCCAGACCCAAAGGAAAACAAGAAGAATGAGACAGCAGCCTTGACCCCTGCACTAAGAGGAAGGTGAGCAGAAAGAAAGAAAGAAAATACAGAAAAGCCATGCAAGCACCAAACCTGTAGTTTACTGCAGCTCTTTTTTGCTTCACCGAGGACAGATATTTTACTGACAGCCATGCAGCATAAAGGCATCGTGCTGATTGTGTTCTTGGAATATTTTATTTCTGGCCACGGAGGAGCAGGTAAGCAAAATAAATCAATATTGCCATTCATGAAACAATTTATCCTAAGTTGAGCAAGGGGAAAAGGAATAGAAATCTAATCTGTAAAGTATGGTAATTTTTTTATGTCAACCTCATTTTAGATTGCATTTTTACAAGGAATCTGTGTTAGTCAATGTATACAAATGCCTCTTATTCCTTGTGATACACAGCTTTACAGCTCAGCTTCCCCCCAAAGACTTATAATAGGATGTACTGTTTCATACATTTTGAAAGGGAAAAGGTGTATTATTTTTGTGAATGAAAGAAAAAAAAGAGAGAAAGAAAGAGGTGGATAGATTGAGATATGCTGGATGTTTGTTTTGAGGAAGAACCACTGCCTTCCTGGGCAGGACAAGAGTGAAATGACAAGATCCTTGGACAGCACCACTGAAGGAATCTGAATTATTTTCTGCTAACTTCATTTTTCATCATTAAAAGTCAGAGACACTTCTTAGGAATTCTTGTTAATCCAAGAAAACCCACTCATTCAGTTTATTCACTGATTCAATAGTTAACATGCAGTGGACAAGATTAAATCAGTATTAGAGAAAAAACAAACAAACAAACAAACAAACAAACAAAAAAAACAACAGGGTAGGGCAGAAAGAGAAGTTGATAAGTTGTGTGTGTATATGTGGGTGTACAAATGAGCATACATAAGAGTGATATAGCTGTGATGGTATTCACATAGGCTTCTACAAATGCCTGGATTATGATAGAGACTAATTTCTTAAGGGAAAGGAAGCAAAGCATTAGATTGCTTTCTTTCTGCTATGGTTTAACAAATCTTTAAGGTTAAAAGGGATGAATTATACAGATCAGCCCAGAAAAAATATAAACAAGCGTTGTTGACAAAACAGCAATATGTCCTTGGTGACTTTCTCATTGGGATACTGGCTTGGGATCTGTCTTTCTGCAGAGCAAAGCATACCAGTGGTTTAAATTTCACCTGCGTGCTCAGAGTATTAGGACTGGAGCAATGCTCCTCATGCAGTGATTATAAAGTGACTGAAGTGTTCAGATACCATGCAGGCTTCGGTAAAATCAAAGGCAGATCAGGAGGCTTCAGCTCAGATTATGGCTTAGTTAGAACCTTCTTAATAACACAGACATTAGATTTCCTAACTGCAGAAGTTATTTTCTTAAAAACTGAAAATAGCTCATAAATTTAAAGTCCTGCCAGATTATCCTGTGACTCACTTGGGAAAACATTTGGCTATCACAACATTACAGGGACCGATTGGAGGGAGGACACGGTATCCTAGTCCTCTTGGTGTTTTATCTTGGGCATTCACTAGTCTCCTGGGCTAGGACTCTCCCTGCAGGATACATATGTTGAAACATAGCACAGGAAGGTTACGGAGATGTCTTGTAAACTTGCTGATGCTGCTGCAGAAAGCAACCTGCTATAAACTAACCTTAATTTGCTCTGTATCCAATACATAAAGTGAAAATGAATCTTCAAGGAAAAGCAGCCCACAGCTGACCATGTGGAGCTAAACACTCTCAGAATACATTGTAGGACACCGTGATTAACAGCAAAATAATTGACTATTGAAGGTGACGACACTAAGGATTCAAAGTCACTTTAAATAAATATAGACTGCCAAAAGGTTGCACAAACCACCCTTCTGTGAAAGCCTAAGGGCTACCTGTTCATTTTTAATTCTTTTTTATTTTTAAGAAGCAAGGTAAAAATCTTGAACTGACCTTAAATCTTTCTGGGTCCTATCGGAGGCAGGGACAGTATTGCTTAGACTGTTAGTTCTGGGAGTATTTAGCCAATCTGTGTAAAAGGAAGCAGACAGGTGTACAGAGAAGTATGTCCATCATATTCTATTAGCCTACACAGGAATTTCCTTTTTCAGCACTATAGTTGGTCCGTCCCGGTCAGAAGTGAAACAAATTGCTGGGCAGTTGTGTGGGGAGTACCTGGAGTACAAAATTTGTGGCAAGTGACTTATTTGCCTTCTGCCACCTCTGCAGAGGAGACAGCCACAGTTGTCAGGATTGGCTCCTTAGATCTTTAAATACAATGCAAGGGGAAAAAATCTTAGCTGTTAGGCTGGAGAAGTCACCTAGGTTTTAAATCATCAGACATGGACCTTCCCCTCATCTTATGCAGGTGGAGGGCCTTTTTCCCCTCATATAAAGCCCATGGCAGCCTGAAAACTCTTGCATATGGGGCCAGCTGCTCACAGGGCTGACAGCAGCCTGGGCTCTCCCTTCGCTCCTGGCCAGCCGCAGCCCTCCCCAGGGAGCAGCACCCAGGGTGCTGGGCCAGCTCTCCTCCCGATGGCAGCCCTCCAAAAGGGGGCGTGGTGTGGTCAAAAATGGCCATTTATTGCACCAAGCTTATGGTCAGCTGCAGGACCTCGTTATTTGCTGGGTTTGGTTTCCTCTGGGCTGGGATTGTTCAGCTCTTCTGCAATAAGGGTGCAGGTGCTGGTGCCCACTGCTGCTCCAGAAAGGATGCTGCAGGCAGACTGCAACTGCCTGCAGTGAAAGAGAGCCCAGATCTGGGATCTTATTCTCATTCTGCCCATGCCTCAGGCCATGGGAGCAGTTTAGTCTTGTAGCATATTCAGAACATCACCTTTAGGGTATTTATGAAGGCTAGCTCATCAGCTTCAGTTGTGAGGCTACTCACAAATGGGTGACAACTTGCCAAACTTGTTGCATGCCGGCCCCAGACAAACCAAAGGGTTGTAGCACTTCTGTTGAAATCAGCGTTGAGGACCAAAGTCCTAGATTTCATTAATAAAACCTTGAGCAATTCATGTCCCCAGGACAGTGGGCTTTAGAATGGCATTTAAAAATCTTTGCTTATTAAGAAAAAAATTAAGCAAATGTAGAACAAGTGAAATCCAGGTTGGACACAGATGGTAAAACTGCTCCATCAAAAACTTTGCAGAAGAAGCCCAAAGATCTTCTATTCAGAAGGGTGAAAGTTGCTCTCCTGTTTCACTGTAAGAGACTCAAATGCACAAAATCAAAATTTTTGCATATGGAAAAGAAGTAAAACCCCCAATTCAAATCACACAGAAAATATTAGGCGTTTTTCTAGTCATGTCAGCGGGCTTTGACTCAGTTGCCATATGACCTTTCTTCTGCTGGATATCCATGGAGGGCAGAAAAATAAATAAATAAATAAAACATTGGATATGTTTTTAGTTAATATCCATAAGGTTACAAGACCCTGAAGGAAGACACCTCTGTTTGAAATGTGTCCCAGCCATATCATCAGTGTGACCTCCCCTGAAATGTAAGTCTCCCCAGCCATCAGCTAACACCATTGTTAGAACACGTGCCAGCCAAGTGCCACTGACCTGCCGCTTTGTGGCACAGCTCAGAGGGAGCAGAAAGACAAATAGATTCATGATATCACTTCTGGAGCCAAACTGTCCATCATGGAGTATAAGCTAATCAACTTCAATACCGGGCAGTGCCCGTGCACAATCAAACTGTTTCATTTTTTATTAATTATTCAGTGAGCCCTCTCCGGTTAAGTTGCTTGTTTGCCTGGCTGCTGTTTCTCTTCTGCAGCAGTACCCCCTCGCTGTCCAAATTCCACACTTGATGTTGTTTCCGCAGAATCGGTGAGCGATGGGAAGGCTGCACTATCCCTTCAGCCAAACAATGTTCTGCCAATTGATTTCTTTAAATGCAAAGTTTTTAATGAACTGCAGATTTTGTTTTCCACCATCCCTCCTTCTCTCAAACTCCCTTCAGCTAATTTACATGTTGCTCTTCTCCCATTTTCCTTATGGCACAGCAGTTTGGACAGAAAATATTTATCAATGTTGCTGCATTAGCTGGGAAGGCAGATAAAGCTTCTTGTGACTGTTGTTCAGGAGAACAACCACCAGTCTTCCTCCTTTTCCAGGTTCAGATAAAAACAGCTGAAAAACTTGGTGTGAGACTGATAGCCCATTAATGGGAAATGTAAAAAGCAGCCATTCCTTTTAAAAAATGTTTCCTTTTTTACTTTCTCACATTCTTGTCTGCAAAGCTTCCCCTGTGCAACTCCTTAAATTTAGAACTCCAGCATGCCATTTCCTCTGTGAAAGCATCAGTGGTGTGGTGCATCAATAAAGATGGACTTTCTTTTAATTACACTGTATATGAATCCATAACCCAATAGCATTTGTAACACGAAGCCACTCTTGTTCAGAACTAAGCAATCTGGACTCTTGTCAGAGCTAATGCTTGTTCAAAGCTCAGCTATAAAGCTGGTCCCACTACAATTCTCTGGAGGCAAAGATGACACCTCTCTGCAGCACGGAGCAAAAGCACTTACTATCCAATCTACTTTAAATGCAGAAATTTCTGCACTTTCCTTATTTCCAGTAATTTCTACTGAACAGCTGAGACATGAGCAAGTCAGACCAGATAATGTGGGCATTTAAGTGCCACTTGCAAAGACTTTCTTGAGGCATTGCAGTTGCAGGTCATTTTATTTTTGCTGGCCTGCAAGGATGGATTTATCTTTATCTCAAGAACTGTGCATGACTCAGTGAAATTCACCCTCCAGGCAGAAAAATTTGGAATGTCAATTGTTCTGCAAAAAGGACAAAGCTCTAAACAACTTTTGGTGAAACCTGAATCCTTTCCCATGAAAAGACTCAGAGAAATTGCAAGAAACCTTCCAGGTAAAATGTCTGAACCTCATGGTGTTCCCCTGTTACTCTACTAGCCTCAGATAAGAAGTTTATGTTCAGAAAGAAAATTACTTGACGTGTTTGTCAAGCAGTCAGGGTGGTAAGAGGGCTTGGTGGAGGATCTCCAGCAGTGCTAAGAATCAACTGCTCAGTTGCAGATGGGGAGCAAAGAACAGAACAAGCATCACCATCTTCTTTCCTTTCATTTCCAGCTGACTTCTGAAAGTCCTCATTTTCTTCATTCTCCTCATTCCCACCTCATGGTGGGACAGCTTTCATTCCTTCAATTCAGGGACAATTAGGTGCAGACCAGACACTGCTGCCCTCCAAGCTCTGCCAATCTCCTAGGATTTCACTGGAAGACCCAAATAAATCTTGGCCTTCCCATCATAGCCAATGGTGGAAGACCACCTCCAACAGGAGGAAGCCTTCTATGTCTCCTGACAACTGTCCTTCCCTGAGACTCCTGCTAAAACTGTCTGCAAGGCAAACACACATTAAATCCAAGTGCCCCTGAAGGTGGCTTCCATCTATTTCTAAGTAAAGAGCATTTTTGGATCATCCACTTCCAGGCTACCTGAAATTTAATATCACCTTACATTGTATGTAAGCTAAAATAGCACACACCGTTGGTCAATGGGATCCAGTGGATGTGCAGCAGCTTGATTATTTGTCCTAATCCTGGAATGCAAAATGCATGAGATGTTTTCCAAAACAATATCTATCCTTTCTCTTCTGGCCTGTGCAGAGCTATCATTAAGGAACCAAAGACAGAAGTAACTTAGAGGCAAAACTGCAGGCTCAATGCATTTTTTTCACCTTAATTCTTTGGGAAAGAAGAACACCAGCTTCACCCAAATACACTTATGCTTGGGCTAATTTTGTAAGGCTGAATCAAAATGAATTTTTTTTGGCCTAACTTGATTTGAAAATTTATTTTGCCTGTGGAAGACCAAATATAAACTGAGTGGGGATTTTAAAATTTGACCTAGAATCTTGAACTAATAGCTGACCTTTGAACTGCTCCTAGATTACCCAGGGTTTACGGTCATCCTATGTTTCATTGGAAGGGTCATTTCCTGTAGGACTTATATTGAGTCATCTGACTTGTGACCTTTTGGATTAGATTTGTGACCTTGCAAGGTCAGTCTTTAACTCATTCTGGACTGTTAAATTGCAAAGAGGACATTGTATGTCATTAGAGAAACAGTTTTCTCCAATTTGGTAATAAGGTTTTGGGAGTGACCTGTAAATCCAGTGTCACAAAACACTACTAATTTCCAAACAATATTAGGATTTTGTAGTTGTCCTTACCTTTCCTAATTTAGAAATAAGTAGATGCATACACTGAAGATACCAAAACTTTTTTTTTTTTTGCTGTACCCGCAAACTTGGCAAACAGAATGTATTCCCCTATCTCCGTGTCAATGTGTTAAAAAAAGAAAAAAGAAAAAAGAAGAAAAAAAAAAGAAAAAAAAAAAAAGACTTGATTTTCAGCTCTGATAAGTATTAGAAAATCCACCTCATCTCAATAGGAGTAGCAGAAATTCAGTGCCTTTTAAAATCAGGTCAAGAACATATAAGTATAGAGATATATGCTTTCTTCATGTGATTTTATGTGCAAACAATGTCTGCAATTTGTTGGACAGGAATCATCTCTTTTCTTAATGAATCTATAATGTACAGTACAGTTTAGCTTAGCTTTCTGATTACAGTAAAATAAACATATTGCACAGATTCAGCCCTCAGATATGCAGCTGTACAAAAGTAAGAGTAAGAAAACACAAGATTCCTGTAGTTAAATGTAAAACTTAATAGACTGATGCAACTGCATTTGCAACAGGTATCAAAGTTAGAGCTTCAAGTGCTTATGGGTAAAGGCTGAGTTTTCTGAAGATTTCAGTTTCTAAGTCAGGCACCTAAACCAATGACTAGATTTATTGAGAGTCTCCCTCTAGACTTTGCGTGAATGAAGCTCTCCTTAGGACAAGCCCTCTTGGATGTCGGTCCCCAGAAGAGGACTCCAAACATTTGCACGGTCCCCTGTCTTACAGCTTGAGAATTGTTTGAGGAGTTCTGCTTAGCTTTATTTCTTTTGCCTGTCTTTCAGATCCCATGAGGCTACAAGCTTTCCGCTGTAATGGCCGTTCTTGCAACCCTCCGGTGGGAAACCTTGCAAGAGGGAGGACACCAGTCACCCTCACCACATGCGGGCAGAACAGCACAGAACTGTACTGCTTCTACCCAGACCAAAACCTCCTCCACCTGGCCTCCCGTGGCTGTGGGCAGCCTCGCTGCACCAAATGCAATGCCAACCAGCCTGATAACTCCCATCTCCCTGCTGACATGACAGATGATTTCTTCGCAAATCCAGTCTCCTGGTGGCAGTCTGCCCAAGGGGTGCACAGGGAAGAAATCAGGCTGGACTTCGAAACTGAGTTCTACCTGACCCATGTCATCGCTGTGTTCAAGTCCCCGCGCCCAGCCGCGATGGTGCTGGAAAGATCCCAGGACTATGGGCAGACTTGGAGGCCCTACAAGTATTTCTCTGTCAACTGTACAGCGACTTTCGGGCTCCAGGATGATCTCACTGAGGAGGGCTCCATGTGTACTTCCAGATACTCAGATGCAGTGCCCTGCACCAGAGGAGAGGTAAGCGATAACTAAGGTTTGGACAAAGTTTAATGTCAGACAGTTAAAGACTGGCTGAGAGTTGGAGAGTACAAGCTCAGAGGGACACTGTGCCTATAAATTAAGAAATGTAGCCCCTTCTCAAAGGCTTTATGTTAAGAAAATAAAGGGGAAGAAATAAAGAAATGATATATCAATGAAAACGAATGGAAATGTTTTAGCAAGTTTCTTTTATGAGAGCTGCAGAGGATAAGATTAACATTTTTGCCTATTTTTACATTGCAGATGCCAATAACTGAAGTAAAACACCACTAAAAACAGATGTAGAAAAAACACACATTTGTAGAGCCTTATTTATCCAAAATGTTTTCCTCCTTTATGATGACATGAACAGCACTTTCAAATTGTCTTTCACCATATAAAAGGTCCTGAATGTTTTAAATAGTACCTTCTCTGAACATTTCATGCAATGACTCCTGCTGGGGGTGTCCATTCTGGTTGTATCAAGACATAGGCTCCAAAAATGAAACCATTTAGAAACAGGAACTCTGACTGAGCAGCCAGATTCCACTGTTCAGCAGGGGAAAGGGTCCTCCTTTGGTATGAATATTCTGATTAAATATGCAGAAGGCTTTCTTTTAAAATAAATGCACAATTGTTCCGATAAATTCCTCTGAGAAGAACATAAGTGACTGCTTAGTAATCAGATTATTAGTTTAGTTATAACCTTTTGCATTCATTAATCTCAAAATAATCAGATGGGAAAGAAGGTAAGTATCATTGGTGTGGTTTTTTTTTAGAGGAGACAGAAAAGCACACAGAAAGGCTATAAGACATTCCTGTAGTCCCGCCAGAGGCTGGAATCCTTTCACTTCCTTCTCTCTTCCTTAGAGAAGTCACAGTCCTCTTGGTTTCCCTGTCTGGAAGTGATCACACAGGTTTGGCAGTAATACTTGCTGTAAATTAAGCTCAGGTGTGAGGTAAATGATCCCAATAGCCTTCAGAAAAACACAGTGGTTTCAGTAATGCACTTCAAAACGCACTTGAGGAGAAAGAAATCAGTGTCCTACACCTGAGACAGAAAAAGAGCAGCATGGAGCGACTGAGTCAACCTTTGTGCAACAAGGCTGGGAAACATCTCTGAGTATTGGAAATCTGGAGCAAATCATCTAACTACTGTCTTCTTCCTGGAGTAGTAATTCTGCTAGTTAGTTATTAGGATACAATGAAGTCATATACATCCAATTGTCTTCTGTAGAGAGGTTAGAATTTGCCACGTCAATACATAATCTAGGCAACAATTGTGATTTTCCACTGTTTTGTGCCATCCAAAGAAAAATCTGGAAGTACTTTGCAAGATCTATATAATGATCTTCAGCACGCATACAACAGTCCTGTTGCCATTTCACAGATGGGGAAGCTTCCACAGAAAGGTGGAAGTGGTTTGTGGTGAAACAGGACAGTTCTGGTAAAATAAGGAATAGAATTCAGTGTTTGAGGAAAATGGCTTGGCCTTAGACACAAAACAACTCTTCCTTTTCTATACAGTATCTCCTGTTACCCTGCACTATATAGGGTTTTGTGCTTGCTTAACCTTGGGGAATATCATTAAGACCGCGTGTTGCTGCTGAAACAAATCCAAGAGGTGGATGGCAGAAAATCAAATAATAAAACACACATCCAACAAAAGCCCTTGTCATTACAAGTGTCAAATGATTCTTTCTACTTGGGCAGCAACCACACCAAAAAGAATATGCTTATCTTTAATCAATTCATGCTGTAGTAGTAGATGTTAGAAAATAATAGTAACAGTGAGAACAGTCATATATTTACAGGTCATGTCCTTGCAGATCCCAAATACTTTCATGAACTGTTACATGAATTGAATACATGCAGAGGTCACTTCCTCTATGGGATGGAGAGCTGAAGCTTTAAAGCAGCACATGGGAATCTGTACAGCTACTTAAGAGAGAACAAGCTAAACGGTTTCACAGCAAATAAACTCAAAAGGATTCTGGAGTTCTGAACAGACTTTACAGAGAACTCTTAACCAAGCCATCAAATACTGCTATGGCAAGGGTGCAAAAGCGTCGGACTTTTCAGGTCAGCAATATGACACAGCAGATTCTTTTGTGAATGAAAATAAAAGGCAGCAGAGAGTAGTTATTTAAAGTGATACCTGATCAGATTTGCCTGAGTGACATTGCTGCTCTTACTACAAGTCTCGTGGGAGCTTTGCCCACACATCCCAGAACTGCAGCTTTACAATTTATTTTAAAGATGTCACAAAAGTCACAAGGGTATCCCCTCAAGCACTAACTCCCAGCTGAGGTGGATGGAAGCTGAATCCCCATCAGTGCTTTGTGCAGTGTTCTCTCCTTTTGCACCCTCACTCTGACCCATCCAATTACTGATGGTGGCTAAGCCTTGGAGGGCTCAGGAGCTCACATCACAAGCTGACATTTCTGAAATGATCAAAACTGTTTCCAACCTAATTTCTAATTCATGCACTGAGATGAATGTCAGTTTTCTCTACTGAGGGACAGTCAGGTTTTTCTTGGGTGCTGTTCTATTCGCTTTCAGAAGAGATGCAAAATTCCCTTTTAACAGGGCACAAAAGGAATCAAAAAGAGGAGATTGCTTACTAAGAACACTTAGGTTTAAAACCCATGGGAGACACATCATGGAACAAGATTTTTGGTCAGCTGGCTTCCAGACCTGAGAATGTGGGTGGGTAAGGAGAAGGTGGCAGAGTTGCAGTAACCTACAGGCATCTATAAACTGACACGCGTGTCCCTGAGTCAGCACACTCTGGTGAGTCTTTAAGACCACTGGAAGAGTCTGGGAGCATAAAAAGAAACATGGCAATAGAAAAACTTTGAGAAGCTTAGAATGGAAGCAAAATCCCTTTGCGGGGGTGATATTACAATGTCACAAAAGAACCCAATGTATCACTACGTTAAGCTGTATCCCCCTTTTTTGGTAAATCATCCTTTATCTTTCACCTCTTGTTAGGGTCACACATCTCCACTTCAGACGGGGTACAGCTGAGACAGACGGTGTCATACATTCAGGAACAAGTCCAGTAGAAATGCAAGGAGATGATTTTTAGTGTCCCTTTTGCAGTTTTCTTTTACTCCAGCATTAATTATATCCCTTGCTCCTGCACTTTTGGAGATAAAATCTCAGATCCTGGATCTCCCCATCTTAATTCTTCTGGCAAAGAACTTAGGCTATTGATAGTTTCTGATTTTGGAGTCAGAGCAATTTATTCACTGCCAGTTGTCTACAAATCATTTGCTTCACTTGTTTCATCTCTTCGAACAAGAGCTTCCATTGGCTGAATTCCCAGGACATCATTCTTGTCATTTGTCTCACCTTTTAGCCACAGCGAAACCTATACTATGAGCTCATTAGTTATGGTGGACATCCAAACTTCCAGCTACAGTTCCAGCACTCCAGTTTTCAGCAAACTGTTTCTTCCTCAGTCTTTGTAACCATTAGAGATTAATAAGGAGCCTCTAATTCTCAAGCTTGTTCAGCAATGTTTAGCAATGTCTATTAGTTGTTATGTTTGCACCTGTACTCGCTAATTCTACATATTTTATAGATCAAATTTACACTGGTAAGTTAATCACCTGAAGTCATGTAATGTTGAAATCTAAAAGTGAATAGGGAGCCCGACACTCATTCATTCAAACTTTGCCAGTTCAACTTAGCAGTCCTGCAGTTTACTAGGAGAAGCACTAGACATGCAATTTCTTTAATCATTTGTTTATAATACCATATACAATATGTTTTGAATTGCAGCAAGGGAAGAAATAAACTACAAAGCATGTTCCAATCCCTGCAAGCATTTTGTTTTCTTTCATTGGTGTTGATCTGCAAGCCACCTGAGCATGATACATTGGTTTCTTGCCACTCTTTCCTAGAAGTCCTTGTTACTGAATATGCCAAAAACCTGTGTCTCCATAGGCCTTTGCCAGTTCCAATACAATTTTTCCTCTTTGTCTCCAAATTGTAGCTGAGTCAGGGCCAACCCAGACTGACAGCTGGCCCCAAACATCATGTCAAGGGTTTGAATCACGCCTCGATAAGTCAAGTTAATTAGGGGTACAGCAGTCAAAGTGGTTTTAAAAACCAAGCCGTTTTTTCTGTCTAGCAACCCACTTGCCTATCATAACCCAATAAGCTTGTTACAGGGTCTTTCCTTCCAAAGTGGTGGTGTGTTAGTTGAGTGAGCACAGTTCAGTCTCTAGTTTCTTGGGTTACAAATGAAGTAGAAGCCTAAAATGAACCTTCAGGTCAGCCATTGGAAATCTAACTCTAACCCAGACAAAAGGAGAAATTACCACCATGTTGCATCAGATGTTAGTGTGACTTACAGTTCATACACCAGCTGGGGAAAACAGGGACCAAAATGTTTCAACCTGCATCCTGACAGCATGTGCAGTTAAGGAGTGCAGTCAACTATCTGACAAATTAAGAGCAGGTTTTTAATAAACTGGAATATTGGGAAACGAAAACAAATGTTCTCTTCCATCTACAGTGATGTTTGCATGAAAGGAAGACATTAGCATGCAAAGCTGGGTGTAACATTAACCTGCTTATAACCACAAGACCCTAAAGAAGACTCTACCGCTATTGGGTCTGGCTAGAGGAAGGTAGTTTTAAATCAAAAGCTGGTTCGTTTATGTGAATGTCTGCGTGACAGATGACACCAACGAAGTGTGATATAATAAACCCATTACTGGAATTCACTGGGGGCTGGAAGAATTGTGTATGGCTGAATTAGGTACTGGTTTCTATGGCAACAAGTTAAATGTGCCTTGTGCAGAAGACCTGTTCCTTCCCCGTTTTGTAGCCTGTGGTGACCTCTTTAGGGACAGAAGTCCCCAACAGCGTCTTTTATCAAAGATCAGTGGACTTGCTTTGTAGCTGAGAGACTTTTAATCACTCTCCTGAACACACTCTGTGAGTGTCAGATCAAGACGTGGTGTGATGGGATGCAATTCTGTCTG